TATATGTATATACACATAATATCATACCCACCAAGCAAATACTGATATGGCAGGCTATAATCTCAGAGAAACCTCAACCCTTTTGGTGAATTGTAGATTACACTCCCTGTGTGCTTGATTGCATCTGTCATTCACCTTTGTAGCCCTGGAGGAGCTGATGAAGTGTCCAGAAAGGTTTGCTGCGTATTACGGCGTGTCGCCCAGCGGGTCAGATGTCTGTACCCAAGAACAGCGTCAAATGTGAGTTGACAGATCAAAATTGTCCTTTATCACCATAACCCATTAAAATCAGGGTCTGAGTTGTTGAAGGTCCTTTGGTCCACATGTTTTCACTTTTCCAAACCAATCAAATATATATGGCTAAAAAGTGAGTTTTTCCCATCAAATTTACTGTTAAATTTAGTTTTTTACTCACATGGGACCTGATTTTTTTTTTACCCAAAACAATATAAAACCCCTATTTGATTCTGAATAAAACATATGATAATAACGTGCAATAAAAAAAAAAATTGTACAGTTAGATGTTCATCCAAAGCATAACTATGATAATAATTATAATAATAATAATAATAATGTCATTTTTGACCTATCAGACCAAATACTATTGCATTTTTCCTTCTTGTACCACACTTAGTTGTTGAAGGAGTTGTAAAACTGGAGCTGCACAGATATGGGAATTGTGGATCAGTACTGATATCTATAATTTTTCATGTACATATTTTACAGTATCTAGACACAAACATTATAAAATACAAAAGGTAGGGCTAGAGATATCCATTTATTTGTAGGTGACCAGTGCAGTAGAATGAATAAAATGCAGATATTTTAGTGCAGTAGCCCAGCGTCACCTGAACATTCTGCTCTTCCAGAGTGCAATTATTTCTGCCGATACCAACGTGATTCCATTATCACACAAAAATCAGGCCAGGAACAAGATGTCTTGACAAAATCAGGACAAAATTAGTCTATTATTATCATTATTCGAAACCACAGGCATTTACAGTTACATGTAACGTCAGGACTTAAAAAACATACACATTAACACTAATGTTGTCTTCCACATCAGAGCTCAGGGCTGCTCCTGTAGCTTGTTTGTTCATTTTAATGCTGGGAACTCTGAGCTAAAACAGAGCGCCGAGCTCTACCATACAGAATGGACTGATAATGTGTCTTTGTCCGCTACTTGATGGATGGATTGAACGTTTCAGTGCATCAGAACCCCAAAAACCTGTGTTTATAGACTTCACAATGACTAAATATTAAACGAAACATAAACTAAATAAACAAATGTAAAGAAAAATGTTAACTTCTACTTGCTGTTGTCAATGATTATTAAAAAACAGAAATGCCGTCCCAGCCCTATACAAACCTGCTTGTCAATCCTTGCCAAAGGTTAGGAAAGAAGATTTTGAAGACTGTATATTCTAATGAAGTTCTGCAGTGATTTGGCTTGAAACAACTAGACCTGATCAGGAATCAAGCTTTAAAATTCAATGGAAAGTCAAAACACATACACCGTTGGCTTACAGTTTTCCCTGGGACCTGGGGTACCTAGTGATGTTTAATAGTTATATCCATCTGTTCTTCTGTCAGTTTTAAAGATATCATGTATGGGCCGGGGCTGAGGCGCTTGAAGAGGCACAGCGAGAAGAAACGGGCTCGAGTCAACCAAATGAGAAAGATCTACCTGCTCTGTAGAACTCCAGGTAACATCTCTTTGAGACGGCGATCCGTTGTTCGTTTATTTTGGTCTACCAGGAATACAGTGCTTTGCTTTGACTATCACAACTAAAGCCAAAATCACCTACAGACACATTTACGACGGTGTTTTTGGGTGTTTCACTGTTAATAAAAATAAAAACAGTAGACTTTGAGAATAAAGTTGTAATATTTCAAGAAAAAAAGTCGTAATATTTCGAGAAAAGGAAAGGTAGCAATATTGTAGCCAAAGGGTTTGCAAAAGGAAGGCAACCTCCTGATGTTAAATGAGGGGCGGTGAGTTGGTGGAGTTTCTTTCATATCGATTCACCCATAAAGAAACACTCAGTCTCCCTGTCTCTCCTGCACATCAGCACCAGCCTGTTATTAGTATAAGAACCGGCTGAGCAGGAAACTGTGTTTATCTAGAATAAAGAGCCAGACGGACTCGGAGGAAACTGTCTGTCTGTGTTGTTGAAGGAGAATCTCAGGCAGGGTCGTCTACACGGCTATCGGGGGCTACATCTCCCCCCATTCGAAGAGGGCATGAAGTTTCACAGACAGTGAGAATGATGATCAAAATGATCCACAGAGAGACAGGAGTGAGTGGAGCTCCGGCGCCAGTACAGCAACCGAGACCCCAACGCGTTATGGCAGCCCCCCTACAGTTAGCCCACTTTATCCTCCAAATATTACGACTTTTTTTCTTGAAATTTTACAACTTTATTCTCGAAATATTACGACTTTCTTCTCTAAGTCTACTGTTTTTAATTTTATTAACAGTGGCCCTTAAAACGCTGTTGTACACATTAGAGTCACAATAAACGCCCCACGTTTTTACCTTATGAACTAATGAGAGCAAAAATCTGTAGGCGCCTCTTTAGACTGCTTTCAGTAATGCTGATTTTATGGGCTGCATTCTGACCATTTTCTGTTTGGATGTTCTTGTAGACCTGCTGACTCCTCATGTTTCTGCACCGAAAGACTCTGCCTGTGACCCAGAGACAAAGGAATGCTGGGAGAGTGAAGTGGACAGGCTGGTGGCATGGACGCACTCGCTTTCTTTTGAAGAACTGGACAGACAGTGATTTGGCGCCAGTCACATTTGACTGATTTTGATTCCACTAATAAATGCAGTCGTATGCACCCCCGGTCAAATTATCCTCAACAATTAAACCGTTTGAAATATTAACACATCATCTCGAGGGAAGAAAATTACATATGGCATTTTTCTGCACATTTTTCTGCGCAATTTCTTTTTATTTACTGAGTTGAATATATAGGGGGAAAAAAAACATAAAAGGTCACATGTGCCATAACCTTTGCACGGGCTATATTTTATATTTTCTGTTTTATTTTTCCCTCAATATAATAATTCAGCAAATAAACAGTAATTATGTTGTATTACAATGTGCAGAAGTGTGTTCTTTGTAGAGCAGTGTTTCTCAACCTGTGGGCCGCAGACAACCAGTGGGCCATGAAGCGCCCTCTAGTGGTCCGCGGACCTTAGTTCGGGGGGAGTAGTTTGTAGTGGACCCGTAGAGATGTATAAATAAAAACACCGCAGACACTGGCTAATTAGACGTCATCAGTTTGAGACATGGGCACGCAGACAGTTAGCCGGAGAGGTTCCTCAGGGCGCGTTCTCCAGCCTAGTTCAGTGCGGACCTATCAAACTTTTCCAACGTGTGTAAACATTCCAGTCTGACAGAACCTGTGGGTCTCGGTCTGCTTCCATCCGAACCCTGTTCAGTTCACTGCTGGTGGGAACACATTTTATGATAAAACAACGGAATTTATCAATCCCTTTTCTTCTACCAGCACATCAGCGCTGTATACTGTCAGTATAATCTGCCTGTTGTAACCTCTGACTCTTTACAGACTCTCATCGCTCTGATATCGTTCCTGCAGCTCGAGCTGCAGCCGATAAAAACGACAGATGAGCCATAAACTAATAGCGATGATCTGTGTTTGATTTCTGGCCGAGCGTCAGCGACCTGAGTCGTTAAACTCAATTTCATAAACTAATGAGAAAAAGCAGCAGATATTATTATTATTGATTGTTGATTGTTGATTGTGGCGACTCAAATCCAAAAGCCCACTGAGTTTAGTGAGGTTTATTTCAAACAAGGTGCCGAAACCCTCAAAAATAAAGAGGCATCTCGGGACCAAACAGTTACTCTTGTTGGAGCCACAAGAGTATTTTCAGTGAAAACACAATGGACCGCAGCTCCAAATCACAGTCCACATCTACATCTATCTTTTTTTTCTTTTTCCCCTTTTTGACACCTTTTTTAACGTCATGTTTTTTAACATAACTGCAAATTTTGGTTTCTGCGACTGAAGTGAAATGGACAATCTGATCTTTTTCAGAGGTTTTTAGCGTGAGTTTACGAAAAAAAAAAAGAAAACTGTTTTAAAGTTTTATTTTTCTGTGGGCCGCTATGCTTTATAGTTATGAACAAGTGGGCCTTGGGGTGGAAAAGGTTGAGAAACCCCTGCTATAGAGGATGTGTTTGACCAGGGGTGCCAAAACTTTTGCATATGGCTGTATTTAACTCCCAGTTGAGCCTGTATAGAGTCCTGCGCTTCAGCACGAACGGAGACATAAAATCTGTTTGGAATCGTGTAATAATCACGAATGACGGAGCAGCTTTTCAGTCCAATAAAGAAGCTTTTACTGAGAAAATAAACTGATTTATTTGAATAAAGATCCAGTAACAAAGCAGGAAAGTGAAAGGTTCATGAAAGTTCAGTAAAACTATGTATATATGAATATAGTTTTTTTCAAGCATGCCATACATCAAAGAAAATAAAGTACTGTGCAAAAGTTTTAGGCACCTGAGAAAATTATATGTATTCAGTACTGAGTGCTTATTTGCTCAGAAAATTAAGTAACATTAGAGTAAATACACTTTTTTTGTTGATGTTAATTGCAGATTTCATCTACTGCTTGGTTTGGTGTGCTGCTGATGGGCACCGAGGAAAAGTCGAGACCCCAAACCTGTGTTCTTCTGACCAGCTCATAAAATAGGAACAGGTTTTTGAAAACAGAATTCTTTATCACTTTTTAGCATGTTAACGTTTGTTTGCCTCTAATGTTATATAGCACTTTATAAGCAAAAGCACATTTATTGCTCAAAAAAGTTTGCTTAGGTGCCTAAAACTTCTGCACCGTACTGTTTATCTAATAACATAAAGTGCCAAGAAGAAGACTTTTACAAGAGCCCTTGTAAAATGAGTATATATAACTATATATATATATATATATATAAAATATATATGTGTGTGTGTGTGTGTGTGTGTGTAAAAGGCTCCTGATTAGTGCACTAATAAAGTCAAAATCTATTAAAATATAAAATTTAATCTGATTTCCTTTCTACTTAGACCTTTTAGTGCTTGGCTGCCAAGTGAAAACATCCTAAATCTCCTTGTAATAATTTCTCGCTTTGAGCTGTAAGAATATAAGAAGTTTAACATTTTGCTTGTATTATTGCAGAATTTCACTGGATAAAATGACTTCAGAACTAGAAACCAGCTGATTAATCTTAATATTCTTAAAACAATCTCAAAATGGGAAAAACAATGACTAGATTTAAGGTTAAGTTTTACTTATGTCATTTTGTCATTTTTTCCAGTATCAGAGGATAAAATCTGCTAAATGTGGTACTTTGTAGCAACGTCAGTGTTGAAAGCTTCAACAGCTGCGCATTAAACTGGGTTCTTCTGTGGACAACAGACGCTCAAACACCTCGATCAGGCCTTTGAAGTCCACTCTGTCCTCCGGGGCATGGGCCCAACACCTGCGCATTTGGATGTACACCTGCAAAAACCAGGCAGAGGAGAAAGACAAATAGGTGGGTATGTGATTCTTGTATGTGAATATACACACTTTATCAGAAACACCTGTACACCTAATGATTCATGCAAAGATCTAATCAGCCAATCGTGTGGCAGCAGTGCATAAAATCAAGCAGATAGAGGCAGCAGCTTCAGGTAATGTTCACATCAACCGTCCGGATGGAGCAAGAATGTGATCTCAGTGATTCTGACTGTGTCATGATTGTGGGTGCCAGATGAGCTGGTTTGAGTCGTTCTATAAATACTGATCTTTTGGGATTTTCACACACAACAGCCTCTAGAGTTTCTCAGAATAGTGCGATAAAGAAAAAAACATCCAGTAAGCAGCAGTTCTGTGGACAAAAATACCTTGTTGACGAAAGAGGTCAGTGGAGAATGGCCAGACTGGTTTGAGCTGACAGAAAGGCTACGGTGACTCAGATAACCAGTCTGTACAATTAAAGTGAGGAGAAAAGCATCTCAGGATGCACAACACGTTGAACCTTGAGGTGGATGGGCTACAACAGCCGAGGCCCACATCGGGTTCCACTTCTGTCAGCCAAGAACAGAAAGCTGAGGCTGCAGTGGGCACCAGCTCACCAAAACAGGACAGCTGAAGGCTGGAAAAACGTACCCTGGTCTGATGAATCTCGATTTCTGCTGAGGCTCACAGATGGGGCAGAATTTGGTGGCAACAATAGCTGCGTTCCAAAGCCTAGGCTGCATTTCTCGGCCGCTACGTCATAACAGGCCATTCCAAAGTAAAGTACCCTTCATATACAGCCTAGAAATGCAGCCTACATTTGGAGTGATTTCAAGGACACACAAGATGTATCCTTCCAGGTCTTCAGTTACCCACTGTTTCTCTGCACACAAATGAGGCGAAGGAAAAAAAAATAAAAAAAAGCACCAGGAAAATGGCGGAAAACAAAGCCGTTGGAGCAGAGCTTGTTTTGAAATGTTAGTTATCCATGTACTTGAATTCGTCTTCGTTACCTTATAAAGTGTAAAATCACTGATTAATTAAAGCATTCATCCATATATTGTATATCGTCCATATATCGCATTTTATTTAGAAGTATTTGTATATAAGTCCTTTATTGTACTACATAAGAACATCTCCTCCATTTCCGTGAAGAAATGAAAAAACAACAAACACAGTTCAACAGGCTCCATTTTCTCTCACCAGTTCTCTCCCGAATTTCACACCACTCTGGTGACGTCACCACGCAGCCTCGTTAGGACTGATCCATTTGTGTGACCAATAGGCTGCTAAGGAGTAGTCTTCATAGGACAGTCCTACCGAGGACCCGTCTTACCTCGGCCGCAGCCTAGACTTTGGAACGCAGCTAATATGAATCCATGGACCCAACCATGGTGTCAGCAGTCCAGGCTGGTAGAGGTGGTGTAATTGTGTAGGGAATGTTTTCTTCTGCTGTCTGATGCTGTTGCTTCGTCTGCCTTGATCGGGTGCCCACTGCTCGTCACTTTCTGGACCAGTATAACCACAACGGAGCTTCCCGCTGTACAACGCTGTGCAAACCTCACCTATAGTCACTGACCCTCTTGATGATACTGCTGCATGCATAGACTCCATTTAATCATAGATATTGCTTCACCTGCTTTCCCCCTTTTCTTTATTTTGAATATCTTATACTAACGTTAAAACCTTATTCTCTGCTCATACTGCTTTCATGGTATTGCTTTGCTATCCGGTGTCGACCACAGGAAGATCTGTCGTCGTTGGCGAAGCTCATGAGAGCTTGGACCCAGATTTTTCTGCCCACTGTAAAGAGCGCTATATGAATAAAGTTTGACTTGGCTTGAATGCCACAGCCCATTTGAGTATTGTTGCTGACCATGTGCTTCCCTTCTTGGCCACAATTTACCATCTTCTAATAGCGACGTCTAGCATGATGAAGCACCACGTCACAAAGCAAAAGTCGTCTCAAACTGGTTTGATGAACTCGAGTTCAGTGTTCTTCAGCAGATTTCCCAATCAACAGATCTGAATCCAATAGAACACCTTTAGGATGTGGTAGAACGAGAGATTTGCAGCATGAAAGGGCACAAAATCTGACGGAACTGCATGATGCAATCATGTCAACATAAACAGAATCTCAAAGGAATGTTTCCAACATTATATGGAATCCACGTCATTAAGAATTGAGGCTGTTTTGAAAGCAAAAGGTGGCCCTAAAGTGCTTGGTGAATGTATTTTGCCAACAAAAAAAAAAAATTCAAGCATTATATGAAGTATTTCAAGCAAATCAGATTTCCATAATCCTCATTCTCACCCCAACAGGACATGTTTAGTATCCAAAAATGGACAAAAGTACATCACAGTAGCAGCGGCCATCCTGAAGCAGGAAGTTTGTCTATACTTTTGTCCATGTTTATAGATAACAGTGAGTCATATCGTGTCAGAAACCACATAAGCAAATCTATTAGATATTAAATAACAACATGGTTTGTTGTGAAGATTTCCGCATGCTGCTAGCACAATGCTAACTGCTGCACATTAGCTCCCATTAGCCTCGTAGCTCCAGTGCAAAAGTAAAGAAGCAATCCTCAGACACCGAACAGGCCTTGGCGGACTAAGTACATGTGAGGTAAGAGTAAAATCATGTTAATGTGCTTTTTTAACAATTCCTTTAATTCAATATTACATCTGCAGAAAGTATAAGCTGCATGCTAAAACACTCCAGAAGATGCATCTTACCATATCTGGGCAGGATGCTGGACATGACAACCTCCAGCCGTCCTCCAGAGCCTTCACTAACCGTGCCATGGTCATCTGTCCGTGTGAACGACCAATCATGTTCTGGAACATCTTGGCGAGAAGAAACAAAAATGTGTCAGGGGGTCATTTGCTGGCAGTGAATTTAACATATCGGGGAAAAACTAGCACATAAAATGTGGCCTGTGCAAAAGTTATGGCACATTTTATATTTTATATTTCATCTTTTTTCCGATGTTAAACTCATGAAATAAATAGAAAATGTGCACTAAACCTATTTTTAGGTTTTTCCCTGTAGAACATAACTTCTTTTTATGTCTTATTTTTGGGAGTGTGCTTTTGCATATGACTGTAAATAGTATTTCAAGGCAAAATATTTTGGTGCAAAATACAGTCAATAGCTTTTTAAAAAAAAATTAAGTTTATCATTTTTGTCTATATAAGTTGTACATATTTTAATCATAAAATGTTAAGTGACTGTGAAATACAGGGTGATTCAAGAAGATTCATCCGATTTCAAAGCATATTTTACAACCGTGAGGCGCCTAGGAACCAATCACAATCCAATTAAAACGGGGTCATAGAGTTTCTGACTGTCAGTGGAAGATGGCTTCCTTCAGTCTGTGAGGAGATGAGACCCCTGAGCAGAAAGCGTTCTGCGTTCTCCACTTCAATAAGAGTGAATCCGTCATAACTGTGCAACGTGATTTTCGTGGGCAGTGAAGCTCCAACAGTTTAGAGCGTTCGTCGTTGGTTCCACAACACTGGATGATCTCCGAAATCGCACTGAAAGAGCCGTGAGTGCAGCGACACCCGACATGCTCAATCCAGTATGGGATGAATTTGACTATGGCGTTGATGTCTGTACAGCTGGAGGAGGTTCATACTGAGACCTTGTACAATTACATAATAAACTTTACGCTCATTTAAACCATTTACAGTTCACTGCATTGTTCTGTAATGATCTACAAGTCATTTTGAAATCGGATGAAGCTTTTTGAATCACCCTGTATGTGATGTGAAACTCCAGTGTGTGCAAAGTGCAAGAACAATGGTGGGAAAAGTCTTACCTCCGGTGGGCTGCTCTTGCGGTCACAGTAGGTCATGAGCTCATAAAGTGTGACCCCAAATGACCAGACGTCTGAGGCTTTGTAGAACTTTCGGTGGATCAGACACTCTGGGGCGTACCTAAACCAGGGATAAAAGACTGGCTCAGCCTGGAAGTCACCGTTTATGGAAGAATGTTATTCTTTTAAGGTGGATTCTACACTATGGACTACATGATCAATTTTAAAGGTATAACTGTATCACTGCACTGTACAGGCATACAGTTACAGTGGCTAACATGCAGCTCATCACCTCTACCCCACACATCACGGTCAGTTTCTGATGACAGGACGGCTGTTGTCCAGATATTGTTGGGCTGGTGGTTCATTCACAGCACTGCAGTTACTCTGACATGGTGGTGGTGTGTTAGTGTGTGTTGCGCTGGTCTGAGTGGATCAGACACAGCAGTGCTGCTGGAGTTTTTAAACACCTCAGTGTCACTGCTGGACTGAGAATAGTCCACCAACCAAAAATATCCAGCCAACAGCGTCCTGTGGGCAGCGTCCTGTGACCACTGATGAAAGACTAGAGGATGACCAACACAAACTACAGTCTCTAACTATACACCAGCAAGGTGGAGCTACAAGAGAGGAGTCTCTGATCAACTGGCCGGTGAATGTAGAATCAACATCCGAGGATAAAAACAAAAATGTTGGGTTTTTGAATTTAAATTCAACATCACAAATACTATCTAGCGTAAAATCTTACACACAGAGGTGTCCTCCTTAAAAACCACTGCAGATTTTGCCTAAATCCTCACCAGTACACAGGACTGTCCTGCTCTTCCTTCACTGTGTAATAGTCCGCATTGTTCTCGATGCTTTTGGTCAGGCCAAAGTCTCCAATCTTCACCAGAGTCTCATTCTCCACCAGAACATTCCGTGCTGCCAGGTCCCTGTGGATGTAGTTCTGACTGCCCAGGTAGTCCATTCCCTGTAAAAAGACACATAAATACATAAAAATACACCAAATCTATGTAGCCAACTTTGGAGTGATATACAATGTACTACAGCACATTTTGGAGATGAATTTATGACCCCTTCAAACAAACTATGGCTTTCTTGCCATAATCACATGATGACTATGCTGGGGAAGCGTCTCCTAATCAGGACAATAGTACCAAAATAAACAGTGATAGGCTTGAATGGATATTTTTGGATGTGGTCCAATCCCATTTCACCCCTCGCCCCTACTATTTAGCCTTTAACCCTTCGTTTTGCATGTTTACGTCTAGATTTTTGCTGAGATAGAGGGGTAGGGTGAAGTGTTAGGGGAGGTTTTTCAGAGACTCCAAACAGAGAGTTATGAGAAAAAAAGAAAAAGCGGCAAGTTGGCTGAACAAGAGACCAAAGAAACCCACAAATGTGAGAATTTTCTCTGTTAAAAATTACAATGACCACTGTATTATCTTAGTTTATTGTCGTTTCAATATATTGTCATTTTCTTTATAACAAGCTTAAAAAAAATCGCTAATAGTATGCTAATGTCTCGGTAGCTAGCTAGCAAACTTTCCCGTTCCACCTTAAATAGTCCAGCAGTACTGATGCCTGAAGCGCCAGAATGTAACTGCTGGACCATTTAAGGTGGAACGGGAAAATTCGAACAAGAATCTGGTGAATGTCTGACTTCAGCTTCATATCACTGAAGAATAATAAATAATTGCCCCCCTCTTTCAAGGCATATGATGTCCTAAATGTAACTAAAGCCCAGCAGTGAGGAGCTGAACTTTACCCTCCTCTGCTGTCACTGCAGACTGGCAGGGTCGCCTACAGAGCAGCACTAGTAGCTGTTAATGAAGTGATGCTCTTTTTATTTGAGGGTCCCATTTCAGAGGGAAGATTTCAACCACTACCCCTTGTAACTCAGTTCCAAGGGGCTAAGATGACACTCGAAAAGAAGGGGTGGGGGTAAAGATAAGAAATGGGACTGGGTCTCTGCGTACCTGGCATATCTGAACAGCATAAAGAAGCAGCCTGTGCTGGCTGGTCTGAGCTTTGTTCCTGGGCAGATATTCCTTCAAGCTGCCAGCAGGCAGATACTCCATAATCAGCTTGATAGTCATTCCACCTGAGAGACACATTCAACACAAGCACAATGTCTGCATAGTCATATTTCACTTCACATGGGTCATCAAAAACTCCCTGGCCACTTTATTAGAAACCCCTCCCCTGTAGCTCCACTATGCTGGTGTACAGTTAGAGGCTGTAGCCAGTCTGTTGATGCATGATGTTCATGTTGATTAGTGGAAGAATGAAGCAAAAGTTTCCAATAAAGTGGACAGTGAGATTAACAGCTGTGCGCTAAGGCTGTTTTACTAGTTTAATTAGTGTACTGTGTTTTCTCTCACCCTCCTCATTGCAGATGCCTTTATACTTGACAATGTTTTGGTGGTAGAGCTCTCTCATGGTGTTGATCTCTCTCCTCAGGTTGCTGCTCTCTGGACCTTCGCTCTCCGACTTCAGAGACTTCACAGCCACCAACTGGCCCGTCTGGTCGCCATGAGGGTCATACATGCACAACTCCACCTTCCCATAATGACCCTGCAGCACACAGGCACATTTCACAATTAAAAACCCTAAAAAAAACCTTCGTCCACTTTTATATATTTCTATAATATTTAAGTAAACACAGCTCATTTCATTCAGTGATGCCAGTGTGACGAAGCTAATGTGAATGTGGACCAACGAAAAGCCAAATTCAGGCTTCAAGAAGCCGGATGGTACTGTTTTTATGTACTTTTGTCCGTGTTTCTTGGTAACATTATGTTGTACAGTGTCAGAAACCAGACTATTAAATCTATTTGAGACTACTGAGCAATAGGCCAATGCTAATTCATGTCTTTCCATCTATTACTTGTTTGTCATTTCAGACTGTGCTTTCAACACGGTGGTGGTAGTATGAGAGGTGACTGAGTGAGGGAGGGGAAGAACTCTGAGAACTTGGGCTGGAGTTCTCAGCAGCTACTGTAGGCCGGACCCCCTCATAGTTGTAATAGTACTGACTTAGGACTGAAGAACAGGGAGGAGATGGGGTGGCGGTGTGGGTAGGAAGGGTTTAAAAACACTTTGTATGTACTGTAAACACTACATTGCCTTAATTTACATTAAAAGTTTTTTTTCCATTTTGGAAATAGGAGGTTGTCTCCGAACATTTATAATGTAATGGTTTGAAAACATATATATATATATATATATATATATATCTCACAGAAATGGTTTCGCAGATGTTCAAGGTACCCACTAATGCACCCCCACACCATGACAGACCCTGGCTTCTGAACTTTATACTGGTAACAATATGAATCCTTTTCTCATAAGGGACTACATTTTTTCTTGGATGTTCAGTTCATAACATTTCTCTTTTTAATTTACTCACGTGAATTTCAGAACAAGCATGTATCTAAAAAGCTAGTAAGGTAATATTTCAAATAAATAATCTTTGTTTTGTTTTGGTGTGAAAACATGTCAAAGTGGATTCACAAAATAAAAAATGTAAAAATTATATCAACTGATTAAACATCACAATTGCACTGCAGCAGCTCATTAAGCATAAGGAAAGCTCTGCACTACCTCTCCAAGGTCCCGTATTTTCCTGAGAAATCTGCTCTCGAACAGTGTGGGGTCGATCTCCTGCAGCGGAACGACTCCTGACACCATGGCCGGGTCTGTGAGATCAACAGAAGACAGCTGAACGAAGAGTAATGAAATGTTTATTGCTTACTGCAGCTCTGAAAGTAATCAACTCTATTAAAGTCAGCCCCTCTTACTCTGCTCCTTGATGCGGTCCAGTTCTCTCACTATGGCTCTGAAGAAGGGTCTCTTCCTGGGATCATAGTTCATGCACTGAGTGATCAGGTCAGCCAGCTCGCTGCTGTGTGGAATCACCAGCGCACTTTCAGCCTCGTAGAACCGCTCCTTCTGCTCACACACAAACACATACGTCATTATTTGGGTGAATGTGTATGTTGTTGCATTCTCAGCCCCCTAAAGACAAACTTCATATGCTATTACATTCTGAGCAGCTAGCACAGCCCCTATGATTGGGGCCAGTAGGCCAAGGCCCACCCATTTTTATCACTGGCTCACCCAAAATGACTCGCATCAATAAATGAATCACATAAATAAAATGCACTTGCTAAATATTTATGTGACATAACTGAAATTGTATTTTTGACACTGACCAATCAGAGTTTATTAGTCCTACATTAGCATTGATAGTGTCAGCACTTTGGAACTAATTTGTTCTTTACACACAAATCCATTGATAAGTTCAGCTCCACTGACCATATAGTTTCACTTTGTAGTTCTACAGTTACAGACTGTAGTCCATCTGTTTCTCTGCATACTTTTGTACCCTGTTCTTCAGTGGTCAGGACCCCCACAGGACCCTCACAGAGCAGGTACTATTTGGGTGGTGGATCATTCTCAGCACTGCAGTAACACTGACGTAGTGGTGGTGTGTTAGTATGTGTTGCGCTGGTCTGAGTGGATCAGACTCAGCAGTGCTGCTGGAGTTTTAAACACCTCAGTGTCACTGCTGGACTGAGAACCAAAAATATCCAGCTAACAGCATCCTGCGGGCAGTGTCCTGTGACCACTGATGAAGGACTAGAGGATGACCAACACAAACTGTGCAGCAGCAGATGAGCTATCGTCTCTGACTTTACATCTACAAGGTGGACTGACATGGAAGGAGTGTCTAATAGAGTGGACAGTGAGTGGACACAGTGTTTAAAAACTCCAGGAGCACTGCTGTGTCTGATCCACTTGTACCAACACAACACACACTAACACACCACCACCACGTCAGCGTTACTGCAGTGCTGAGAATGACCCACCACCCAAATAGTACCTGCTCTGTGAGGGTCCTGACCTTTGAAGAACAGGGTAACAAAGTATGCAGAGAAACAGATGGACTACAGTCTGTAACTGTAGAACTACACAGTGCACCTATATGGTCAGTGGAGCTGATAAAATGGACGATGAGTGTAGATACAAGGAGGTGGACTGGTCTGGTTCATCCATTCTTTAACAGTTTCTACCCCATTTGCTGCAGCTGAAACACTGCTATGAGAATTTGATTGTGTGTAGCCACAAGAGCATTAGTAAGGCGAATGACTAGTTCTGGATTACTCTGACTTTTCTCGCACCTGATGGGTGCTAGTCCATCACTCCAAAGAACCAGCGTTATTACAATGAATGAGATTATATAAGTGAATGTGTGTGTCCACAAACAAGTTGTTTAGTGGTCAGCAGTCAGAGAAATGCAGCACCTCAGTGCGTTTCTTGTCCCTCAGCGGCACTTCCCCGTTGTAGCAGATTTCCCACAGTGTCGTCCCAAATCCCCACTTATCCACCGCGATGCTCAGCATTTTAGGGTTCTTCACACATTCTGGTGCAATCCAAGGAATCCTGTCGATGCATTCTGAAAAAAAGGACAACATTTGAGAATGTAGGCGGAAAACATTTCTAATTTACTTACATTGGACTGGCGTTTTCCACATATGCCTGTAACGTGTCAGAATGAGTCAGACGCTTGTGGATAAAAAGGGAAAAAGAGGCTTTACTGTTTGAGTCGTGATCCAAAATCGTGGTCAGTAAACAGGCACAGGTCAGATCCAAAACAGACAAAAAGTAAAAAAAACACAAACATAGCACCAGGCAAACAGTCCAAAAGGGGTCAGGCAGAAAGGTAAAGTCAAAATACATGAAAATAAGTCAGAGCCAGGAAATAACAATACAGAAATGGACCGCTCAGTAGCTCTAGGAAAGAAGCAATACCTCACAATGAGCTGAACTAAAAGCCCAGACTTAACGAACTTATACTTATACGAACAACAACTAGAGACAACAGGTGAAACAAATCAGCACTCTGGAGACAGAGAGCGGTGATTGGATCGTGATCGTGATTTTGTCTTTATGTATTCACCCCCATCCAGAGTTAATTCACTATTTGCTAAAAAATCAATATTCTTTGAAAAACATGAAAAAAATATTGTTAAAATTATTCCTTTAGAGCTACAAAATGTACGTTTTGGAGACCTCTCTGGTGGAAATGTGTAATTGCACACAATGTAATATATGTGTGCATTGAGAGCATAAAGAGAACTCAGTCAACACTTAATGAAGAACGTGTGTTTTAAGATGCCTACTTCAAAAAAATCTTACATAGTGCTGCTTTAAACTGATTCTATAAACTCGCATTCTACACTAATCTAGACTAATAGGGTCTACACTAATAGGCTTGTTAGCTCCGCAGCTCTGGGTTACCTTCTCTGCTGAGCACGGTGATGGGCACGCCTGGGTCGCTGAGCTTTATGAATGGTGCCGCCTGTCCATCCAGACCATCCTTGGCCAACAGAATGTTCTTTGTGCACACAAAGCCATGGACGAGCTTCTTATCCTCCTAAAGGACAGAAAGCACAGAAGGCTCTTTCAACACCACATTTCCCAAGAATCGCTTTTCCTCATAATATGCAACTCTACCCCATTCATCACTGGTCAGTTTCTGACCACAGGAGCACAGCTGAACAGATAATGTTTGGGTGGTGGGCCATTTTCAGCACAGTGATGACACTGATATTTTAATGAATATGCCATAATATTTATGTTATATATTTCCTCACCAGGTAACTGAGGACACTTGCGAGCTGCTCGGCAACCTGGAACTTCCAAGATGGAGTGAGAACGGAGTGATGAGCCCGCATGAACAGATCCAGAGGACCATGCTGCACGAACTCCTCTACCATGATAACTAAAGAAAACAGCCACTGGTTACTTTTTCCAGTTTAACAAGGAGGGCTCAAGGTGGCCTCCTGACTGACCATCTAAAAAATGGCAAATATGCATCTCTGTAGCTTCTGCTTTGGTATTTAAACATGTCTTAAACCAAAGAATGATCTCTGAAAAATTCAGGCAGGTAGCAACAACAGTTCATAAGTAATGAAGTGAAAATTTTAAAGGGGAACTGATATTTCAGATCTAGTGAATCAATAAGATGTAAATAAAGTCATGCTTTGTTATAGAGAATTGCTGCCGACTTCTCTGGGTTTGAGTCAGAATTGTTCACAACAGTGGTCCAAATGTCCTGTAAAAGCTCCCTCACAGAAAGTTATTACACAAAACAGTTATGAAAGTTTTAACATATTTTCATTCAGGGTGGAGAGATACAAAACATCCAAACAAATCTTTTTCTTTTTTTGTTTGGATAGTAAATAAAATGGCTATATTTGTGTTGTAGACATTGTGATCCCTGGTTCCTATCACCACCACTGTAAAGAAACCTGAGTCTCTACAATCAACCATTTCAGACCAAACCAGGGCGGATGAATGACTTAACAATTGAATTCTGTAGAAATTGTGAAGAATCAGTTCCCCTTTAAGGCCACTTCTGCTTTTTAACGTCTCTATATTTTAAAAACCGATGAAGACGCTAGCCTAAAATCTTATTATCAAGCAGACATGAGGATATTATTCCCTGAAAGTATCACCTTTTATGAAAACTTGTACATCTGAGGCGCATTAACAAGTGTAACAAGTGCATCTGTATATCTGGATAGGAGACTTACTGTCCATGCTGTGCATACAGATTCCATAGAGGAGAGCAATGTGTTTGTGTGAGATCTGACGCATCAAGCTCACGGTTTCCAGGAAGGCCTAAAGGGATGGAGACATTTGAGCATGTAGCTACATTATTTTGGACATGAGAACCAGTGACTGACAATTATGCTTGGACCAGTTGAAAGTAAAAGAGGAAAAAGGACGGCCAGCAACAAGACGGACAGACACGAGCCAAAAAGACGGCTACGAACCAAACAGAATACAGGATATTCTCGAGAAAGATGATCCAAACTGACTTGACAGCACTTATTAATCATAATTTAATTCACTGGGTTCTTCTGATTGCTTTGAAAGAACGGCTCAACATATATTACAGTGAAATTTTAAGAGAAGAAAGCAGAATTTGATGAGAGTCGCCCAGCGCTAGTCTTGCTTACCGAAATGTCCCTGTGTCCTGCACTCAGCACCTTCAGCACCACCTTCACCTCCTCATTGTTTTGGCTTGGCAGGCCTTCATCATCATCACTTCGCACCTTCAGCTTGCCTGAGTAAATGTTGGTGCGGGTTCCACTGCCCAAGTGCGTCTCCTGTGGAGCAGAAAGCATGTTCAGCTGATTCTGCTGGATACGGTTTTGTAGCTGCTCACTTCATTTCAAACTACAAAACAGGTTTGCCTCTTATTTCGTGCCTGCACTGTTAGACATAAAGTACATTTTTCATTCATCAAGATACAAACAATTTAAATGTTCCCTTAAAGGTACAACAGTGGTTTTAAGGTCTGATAGTGAACCTTAAATAAGTTTTTCCAGGTGAAAAGTTCGTATTTGTACCTTTTCATAACCGAATGTTTTAAAGCAGAACAGTAAAATAAAAGCCTGGAGACGAGACGGGGTGTGTGGAGTCAGTACAGCTTAGAACATATCATTTCAGTGGATTATGGTTCAGTTATGTTCCCCGACCAAAGGTACTGAGATGGACCCTTGAGGGTTCCACCCCAGTAACAAGAGGGGAACTGCCCCAGTGACAGTTTAGTACCTTTATTTCTGAGAGTGTGGGTGAAACCTGGTTAGACAGGCAAATCTCATTTAGACTTGTATGCCATACTGTCATCTAAAAAAATTGAGAAACGCACAGATAAAATTGAGTCTTCAGGTTGGCTGAAACTTCTGTTTCTGTACACAACAAAGTGTCACACAGAAACCTACCGTGTAAAAAAATGGGATCTTGTCAAGTAAAGTTATCCTAAATATAGTCAATAAATGTAATATTTCTCCTGTTGAGATTGTCGCAAGCTTAATTTAAGATTATTTACCTCATTTCTAGACTTTTTTTGCATGTTTTAAGTCATTTTATTAAGTAAAATTAGCTCACTATACAGATAACTTTGTTTTAAGAAATGTGCTTGAAACTTGAACGTAAAAAAATGTCTATATAATCTTAGAATAAGTGCACAACCATCTCCAAATAAGAAATATTGGATATATTTACTAGATTTAAGATCATTTCACTTGACAAGATCTCATTTTTTTGCAGTGTATTTGGCTCCAGGCTGAGAACAGCTGTGGCAAACTCAGATGCCAATGAAAGGATGCAAACGTTTTTTGTCAGTAACTCATTCCTAGTTTTGAACAGCTACTACATGCTGATACGTGCAGTTGTAACAGTCAATTCCAGTTAACATGATTAGAGATTCGGAAACCGGCTCAGTGATTAAAGTTTCACTTCATGCAATGACACGCATGAACAGGAATGAGGAACCTAACAACTGTCCAAAAGGTGACTTTGACTTGCGCAAGCGAATCTGATGGGAAGCCCCTTTTCTGGTGCGCAGTGACTTATAACGACTACAGTTACAGTTCAGATTTGGCTCAAACTCAGGCAGAAAGCAATCCAACCTGAATGATGTCCTCCTTGTTAATCCTGTGGAAAACGAGCTGGCTGAGAGAGGGCAGGGCAGCTGTGTCTGGCCGTGTCACCAACAGCAGATTGGAAGCCTCTGGAGTACAAAACAGCACAGAGACAGATGATTTCAGACAAGCTGGAGCACAAAGTGCATCTGGCATTTAGCTTGAAGGCATGTATTAAATGTTTCCATGCCGTGGCAGAGTCTGATTAATGTGTGAACATCATAAAAGTTTCACTGTTGTGGAAATGCTGGTTGTTTACTGTGACTATGATGAGACTATGAGGCACAGATCGAAACTGACTGACCTATTGTTTTGATTTCTTAATACATCGGGTTTATCAATGTGTGGCTCAATACTAACAATTTACTTCTTTTCAATTACTTATTATTTATTCATTTTCATCTTTTAACAATAACAAAGAACACAGAAATAAATAAAGAAAGGAAAGGATATATATATATATATATATATATACGCAAGACTTTTTGTTAAAAAACAGAATTATTCCTGTTTAATTGGTTTTAGTACAGTAAAGTATGTGAAATGTTGACTTATATAGAATAACTATATAAGGAAGAAAACCTCGTATCTCCAAAATGGTAACTTTACAGCAGAGGGAAAAAACGTACTTTACTTTTAATGTAAGTCAATGGAACCAGAGTTTTTTCCAAGTCATTTTGGGCCGTTTCTTTTAGTCCATTCATCATGACATTTACACACAATGTAAAGAGCAACAGGCATTTTCAAATTATGCCAAAAACTAAAAAACGACAAAAAAGGAGATACAAAGTTTTGCTCTGACAGCAGTGATAGATAGATAGATAGATAGATAGATAGATAGATAGATAGATAGATAGATTGATAGATATGCAAAAAATCATATTAAAAACAAGAAAAAGTATGAATAAATAAATCAATAAATAAAATTTGTATAACGCATAGCATTTCTTTGCTATGTATGATAACTTTTAAAAAAGTCTTATGCACACAAGAAGTGATGAACAGATACAGTGAAAACTGATATTGCAAACATATTGCATTTACATCAAACTGTCATTAAGTACAAGTTATTCATTTTTCAAGCATATATTCAACAAAAATTACATACACCTCAAAAATGAATTATAATATCTAATTTTTCAGTGTTTATTGTGTCCACCTATTGCCTTTATTACAGCTTTTTTTAAAAAAAAATCATTAAGGATGTTTCTCCAAACTGCCAAAGTTCAGTCTTAGAAGTTGGTTGCATTTTCTGCTCAATTCAATCCAAATAATCCCAATTACAAATTTAGACACATCAGTCCATTAAACTCCTCTCAGACGTCCAGTTTTGGTGTTCACTGCAAAAATTGATGTTTTAGCAAGTGAAAACATCTTAGGTGTAGTCAATAAATCTAATATTTCTAAAATGTGATTGTTGTAAGAATATGATAAGAGGATTTAATTCATTTCTGGGCATTATTTCTTACTTGGGCGGCACACAGCAAGGAGCACCTGGGTTCGATTCCCCGGCCGGGTGACCAGGGTCCTTTCTGTGTGGAGTTTGCGTGTTCTCCCTGTGTCTGTGTGGGTTTCCTCCGGGTACTCCGGTTTCCTCCCACAGTCCAAAGACATGCAGTCAGGCCAATTGGACACGCTAGATTGCCCCTAGGTATGAGTGTGTGTGAATGTATATGTCTGTCTGCCCTGATGGACTGGCGACCTGTCCAGGGTGTTTCCTGCCTTCCGCCCAATGACCGTTGGGATAGGCTCCAGCTCCCCCCCGCGGCCCAGAAGGATAAGCGGCTTAGAAGATGGGTGTGTGTGTATTTCTTACTTGTTTCAAGTAATTTTGTCTTATGAAAGTGTCTTCTTCTGTCTACGTCTTGAAATAAGCAAACTTATCCATTATTTCTTGAACAAGTACAATGATCTGCTGATGGAATAAGACACTTTCATAAGCAAAATTACTTACATTAAGTAAAATATATAGAAAATAGGTTGGTTTGTCTTTGAATATACATCTCATAATGTGAAATATTAGATATACTGGCTACATTTGCACTTGCTAAGTTATCATTTTTTGCAGTGTTCTAGTGCAGATTTTCTTCTTTTGTGTCCGTCTCCTTTTCTCAGTGAGGTTCTTCTTGACCGCTACACATCCTTTCAGACCCACAGCGCTGAGTCGTCTTCTCACAGTGGAAGGATGGACAGAAACACCTGTGGATGTTTTCAGATCTGAAGCAGCTTGATTTTCTCCTCTCTCTCAAAGATGAAAGCTTTAAGTGCTGTTTATCTGATGGGGGCAGTTTTGGGGTCGACCAGGTCTTCCAGGTGATTGTTAGGAGGCCCATTTTCTCTGTACCTTTTAATCATTTTTTGAACTTCAGTTTTGGAAACAACCACTTTTTCTAATTATATTCCTACTTTCTCCTGCCTTATGCTGATGACTATCTTATCTGTAACCTGCTCAGAAATATCTCGTTAAGCCATTATAGAAGCATCTGAGAAAGATTCAGTTCGAGGCAGCTGAGGTGACTTTGGGTAGCTGCTTGTGTGAATGTCAGTGTCTCTTTGTCAGTGGGATCTTTGAGAGCAGCTGTAACTGGTTGGTTCTGAGATTGATGGGCTTACAGAGAGTTACAGATATGAGTATTTAGTTTGTCCACTCTTTACTTTTGTGCACAAATTAAATACTGACATCTGTGTTTATTTAAATACTGTATCAGTCCTCCCATTCCTAGTGCAGAGTGTTTTGAATCACTTACCTCTGGGTTGGGGCGGGCAGCCTCTGCCCAGCTTCAGTCTGGTGCTGTCTGTACTCAGACAGTGTCCAGACAGCTGATCAGTCAGCTCCCTCAGAGTGGGCTTCTCGATGTTGGTCCCGCAGAGACAGTAACCGTCCTCCAGTTTCTGGATCTGGAAGTTCTTGACGGTTTTACCAGTCACCCCAGAGATGTCCCTCTGGATATAAAAGTCAGCGGAGACAAGATAGTAAAGCAGTAAACAACACTGTACTGTTTCATGAGCATGTGGTAAGTAGAAAATTCCAATATTAATATTTTTTATAATTGTACTGCTGTACGACAACACATTATTAGATTATAAATGATTTACACAGATGTACAGATTTTTGGCTGGGACCACTGAGTGGACTTGAACCCTCGAACAGAAGACAGGAGTCTCAAACTACTCAAACAGCTTTACGGCCTTTTTTTATTTTTATGTCTAATATTGATGTGTCCTTCACGAACAAATCGGCTCTTTGAGACAGCTCTTGTAAAAGAACATTAGGAGCTGACCCCCCGGTCCCACTTTAAATTAAGTGTCTCTAATAACTGTGTAGTTACATGTGAACAACATATGCAACAACAATGTAACTGCTAATGGTTTAGTCACTGTTACAAATGGATTACAGTAGTACAGCTTATGTAACTACACAGGTGTGTCAACTTCAGTTTTGCCTCATGTAATTACACAAGTGTATCTTAATAGTTGTAACAACATATTCTCTCTCATATAATTACACAAGGGTAATAACACAAGTGTAATTACATTTGCAGTCAGACTGAAACATCATTTTTTTTCAGTCTTTTCCAGCAGTAAAAGGAAGTTTGTAATAATTTACATTAAGGCATTACTTACACTGTATCTGCCAGCTTTCCTGACATTTAGCGAGCATTTATTTTGCTAATGTTGTGACACTGTAACCAGTTTCAGCTTTAAACCATTCTGTAATGTGACCCCTTATCTTAAAATGTAACTGTTATGACAATAATTAAATGTGTTGCATTTCCCCCAAAGCAATGTCTATATTACCACTGCATTATTACACAGTACCTACATAACAACTACACAGGATCTGTCCACTTATTTTACAGTGTAACTTTAACACTACAGGAAAGTTCCTGTGTAGATAATACACTTGTGTAACCACATGAGGCAAAACTGAAGGGTTTTAATATTCCCAGGCCAATAGTCCTTGGCCACACCACCACCCCCTCTTTTTCAGGGGAAATACATTTTTAGTATTTTTTTCTTTTTCATTTCGCTATTAATGTCACAACTCATCGTTTATTAATGATCATACAGATATAAGGTGATGTGGTACCACAACCAACCAACCACCCTCCAAACACCACCCACCCACCCACCCACCAAAACTGAAGTTGATACACATGTAATTACATTGGCTGTACTTCTGTAATCCATCTGTAACTAAATCCTCAGTAGTTACAGTGTTGTTGCATACATTATTCATGTGTAACTACACAGTTATTAGAGACACAATATAAAGTGGGACCGACCCCCCTTTTGGATCTATAAATAGATCTTATGATGCTGTAGCTGACCTCCCCCCCTCTTGGATCTGTTTGGAACATTCCGGCTCCCCCTTATTACCCCCAACACCTGCAGCTTGTTGTTTCAGTTTGTCTAGTTTTGGTCTTGGTGGTTTTCGTGTAATCGTTAGCCACGCTTCAAAGTACGCTGCGTTAGTTCTTCTGATTTTTACTTTTACCCGCCTTTGTTGATGGATTTGTCTGCATTTTGTTTGGATCTTGTGAAATCTGCCTCTTAAAATTAATCCTGTGAATGAACTTATTAATGCTTGACTTTTTTTTTGTGCTACACATAATACAGATTTTTTGCATGAATGCTGTGCACTGCATAAGCATGGTTGTAATTTAGCTGCAACTTGCTATTATTCTGTTACGTGTCTGGATTCGCTTATTACCTAGAGGTAGATACAGCATGTCAGAACCAAGAAATGAATCAATAAATGGAATTATCAACTGAATCAACCGACAGTGCAGATTTGCCTGCTTTCATTTGCTTACAGTAGATAACTTTAAGATTTTTTAGCTGTTGAAAGTTCCTATGAAAGGTCATATTTTTTATTGTTTTCTGAAGTAAAGTAGTAAACATGACATTTCCAGCAAGCTATTAAAAATAGCATGTTCTGCAAATCCACCACTCCTGTGTCAGCTAAACCTTCCTGCTTTCCTTTGCTGGCATGTGGGGGTTTTGCTTTGCATTTCTTGCCTGCATACGCAGCAGTTCTATCTGAGAGCTTTCTTGGACGTGAAGAAATGTCTTAGGCAGTTCCCCTTGATATCTTTTTATAGCCTTTAATGATTTTGTTTCATTTTCAGATCCTCAGCCAACTGCTTGGACGAGCACATGACTGTTGAGTGTTAGCACAAGGTTTGAAGAGTCAAAGAATTTATTACACTCTGGAATTTAATCAACTGAAAATTTATATTGACAATACTTGACCTCCTTCTGTCCTAATGAGTCAATTAAGGCCTAACGAGTTAATTCAGTTATAAAACTCTACAGCTAGAATAGTGTCCAAACTTTTGCACTTGTCTTGACTTCCAGTGATCTTGAAACGAACCTCACTGCAGACGACGGTGAGCAGAACGTGGTCGTAGTCTGCGCAGCTCCAGCGGAGGATGTACATGCCCTCCTCATTGCCCTCCTGTTTCAACTTATGGATGGCGTATTCAGTGCTGCAGACAGGGCAAAACGTCAGGTTCATCTGTTATGTCATCTTTGCAGATCGTCAGAAACGGACGCATGCGCTCACCTGATTGGCCCGTGACATCCTTCGTTCAGGTTTGTCTGCACAGCGTCAGGGGCCACGTCTGTGCACAGGAAGTGATGCGCATCTACCGTGAGCCTGAAGTATCCGTCTACCAGACTGACAAAGGACAAGGCCTCCTCACGACTAGCCAGACGCAGCTCCTATTCCAGGCGACAGGAACATTCATTGAAATATAGGACACTATAGGTGGACAATTAGGGTTGGGCGGTGTAATGGTAATGACGGTGTGTATATATATATATATATATATATATATGTACACCAATCAGGCATAACATTATGACCACCTCCTTGTTTCTACACTCGTTGTCCATTTTATCAGCTCCACTTACTATATAGGTGCACTTTGTAGTTCTACAGTTACAGACTGTAGTCCATCTGTTTCTCTGCATACTTTGTTAGCCCCCTTTTACCCTGTTCTTCAGTGGTCAGGACCCCCATGGACCCTCACAGAGCAGGTACTCTTTGGGTGGTGGATCATTCTCAGCACTGCAGTAACACTGACGTGGTGGTGTGTTGGTGTGTGTTGTGCTGGTACGAGTGGATCAGACACAGCAATACAGCTGGAGTTTTTAAACACCGTGTCCACTCACTGTCCACTCTATTAGACACTCCTACCTTGTCAGTCCACCTTGTAGATGTAAAGTCAGAGACGATAGCTCATCTGCTGCTGCACAGTTTGTACTGGTCATCCTCTAGTCCTTCTTCAGTGGTCACAGGACGCTGTTGGCTGGATATTTTTGGTTGGTGGACTATTCTCAGTCCAGCAGTGACACTGAGGTGTTTAAAAACTCCAGCAGCACTGCTGTGTCTGATCCACTCATACCAGCGCAACACACACTAACACACAACCACCACGTCAGTGTCACTGCAGTGCTGAGAATGATCCACCACCCAAATAGTACCTGCTCTGTGAGGATCCATGGGGGTCCTGACCACTGAAGAACAGGGTGAAAAGGGGCTAACAAAGTATGCAGCGAAACAGATGGAGAACTACAAAGTGCACATATATAGTAAGTGGAGCTGATAAAATGGGCGTAGAAACAAGGGTCATAATGTTATGCCTGATCAGTATATATATAACTGCTGTTAGAACAAAACCTTGAATCTCAATTTTTCAGTTTTTCCCATAATTTCAAAGTATCTGATGCCCTTTACATTGTGTGTAAATGATCAATGGGCCAAAAGAAATGTTTGAAAATTGCTTGGAAAACCGTCTGGTTCCATTGACTAACATTAAAAGTAAAGTATGTTTTTCCTTCTCCTATAACGTTACCATTTTGGAGATACAAGGTTTTGTTCTGACAACAGTGCATAAACACATTCCACCCATTTAAATTAAAGGTTAACTGATTGATGGTGTGGGAGAAATCAGAACCTGGAAAAAAACCCAGAAAAACAAAGCATGATAGCAGCTCATCGATGGCTAAAAGCTACAGCCCTGCTGAAAAAAGACCACTAGAACCATTTGGATTGAAAGTTCATGGTTTCTGCTTCTAAAGGGAATTGGCCTAACGGTTAACATTAGAGACCTCTACTTTCCTGTTGAATACCTTTAGATTCCATTAGGAAATCATCAAATGCATCTAGCATCAATCCCAGAACACCTGATAAACACCTGATTAGAATCCTTTACACTGTGATATCAAACCATCAGGAAAACACAAAATACCATAACTGACTACTGGAGACCACCAAGAACCAGACTTTTAAAGGCTTCTATGACTTTTTTTCAGCAGGGACCACAGAACATGCTCAACTTTCACTCTAACACCAGTCACTCGACTCTGCGCTCTCAAATTGGGTGTCATTTTAGCTTCAGCTAGCTTAAAAACAAGCCTGTGTTGCTGTGTGGCACCTTTGGCCTACTAACTAAGCTACAGCTAGCTTAGCCAAAGCGCTACGGTCTCAAACCCACAGAACAGGTTAGATTTCATCTTTCTGTTGCTCCAAAACCAGTCATTCAACTTTTACTCTCTCAGACGTTAGTCTTATCATCTACACTGGTTTTAGCAGAGCAGCACTCAGTCAGAATCAAACCTGTACTGTGGTGAGGGGCACTGTTTGGGTCTGTAGCCTGTTGCTAAGCTAACATTAAGTTTCAAACACAGATTCAAACACAACAGGTTTTTTTCTCCTGTCTGTCTCTTCAGCACCAGATGCTCGACTTCACTGCCTCAGATTTTGAATCACTATCATCTAAACCTGTGTCTGTGCTTTAGTTTAGTTTCATCAGGTTTTTCTTTCTTCTAAGAAATTTTAAAAAACAAACGTTTTTCGAGTCCTTCTGAGTAATACAGCAGTGATATTTACAGGCAGAAACTGCCGAAGCAGGGTCTGTCATTTAGGACAGCACTAGAGCTGGGCAATATAATGATATTTATTAATATCGTGATAAATTGCATTACATTTCATCCCAATACGCTTTTCATGAGCATATCATGGACATCGTCAGTACTTAAAGAACCCTGAACAACTGCTTGTCTCCAGAGAGCATAATTTCTCTTTTTTAACTAGCTTTAGTGCAGTGTAGTGTGTGAAATTCTGAATATTAATTCATTTATGGTTTTTGATAGTATTTTTAAAAATATCTTATCTTTTTTTGGTCTGCTCCAACTTCTCAAACTTCAGAAAAACTAAATATTGTGACCCATTTTATGTCTCACTATGAACGTATTGTGATTTTTTTAGTCCCCTAGACAGGACTATTAATCTGACAGCAGACACATGGCACAGCTGGGGCCCGAACCTAATCATAGCATTGTACCACTCCTCTGCACTAAACAGAGCACCCTGAGGGGAGGTAAAGACATGATTACCATCCTTTTGTTGTCTTGCTTGTAAACCGTGACTGCAGAGTCTCTGATGACGATGTACGTGATCTCATGAAAATCAGAGAAGATTGTCCAGCCATCGTCTTTGCTGGGGTGTTTCGGGCCATTGCTCTCCAGACTCTGCCGTCTTTTTCTTTTACTTGATTTCTTCCTCCATTGGTTGGTAAACAGGCCCGGGCAGGTCTTCAAGACAAGTATTTAAGAACATTACAGGGCGTCACTCTCCATTCCAGACTTCATTAAACCACAATAGTTTACAAAGTAAAAGCAACAGGACAGTGTTAGTCATGAGCGGCATAAAACAGAGGACTTTGGCCAAGTGCGCATATGTTGATGATGCCATATTTCCTTTGCATGACAGAGGAGATTTATTTCTTCCTGGGGTCTTTCTGTCTCGTTTCCTTCCAGTGATTAATGCAACATTCCAAGAATTCATGAAAAATGATGCAGGAAATAGACAAAACTCAAATTCCCCTACAAACTGTAGTCCTGGTTAAACATCACTGTGAAGCTGCACTGTGTTTAAATACAGACAGTAAGAGGTATTACATTTCAGAGTGGCTGAAATTTAACGCCACTCTGAAATGTAATACCACTCTGACAGGCCTGCCAGTGTCCACTTCAAACTCACATTTGAAAACCTGTTTGAACATATCGCTGCTGTCGGAGCACAACCTCGTATCTCCAAATGATAACTTTACAGGAGAAGGAAAAAACTTACTCTACTTTTAATGTGAGTCAATGGAACCAGACTTTTTTCCAAGTAATTTTGGGTTGTTTCTTTTGGTCCATTCACCATGAAATTTACACAAAATTTAAAGGACAATGGATTCTTTCAAATTATGCCAAAAACTGGAAAATGGCAAAAATTGAGATACAAGGCTTTGTTCCGACAGCAGCGATATAATGCAGGACAGCATGTCACTGTATGTACAATTTCTATAATCTCGAGGACTAAATGCTTATGCTTAAATGCTTGAAATGTATATCAAAGGCAGATATAAGTAGTGAAGTGGATGCCTGAATCGAAGCTATAAAAAACAAACCAAAAAAGAGGTTAGTTTTATTTAATTCAACCAAAATTTATTTTTTTTATTTAGACCATCAGTGAAATTTAGAGTTGGATAAAATTGAAGCATAATCATTATACATTATACAGCCATATGCAAAAGTTTGAACACCCCTAGGCAATTTACATGTTTTGTTACTTTTTTTATCTGTTACTTTTATATCTTTAAGGCAGAATTTTGGTTTATGTGCTGAGTTTAACATATTGGAGACAAATAAATCATAACAATATAAAATGTGCTATAATTGTTGTGCAGGCCACATCTGATGTTTTCCCTTTAATATGTTAAATTCAGCAAACAGTAATTGTAAATCTGTAAATAACAACTTTTCTGCATATCAACACAACATGTAGTTTGATCAGGTGTAACTTTTGTATATGACTGTATCATGTAGTGAAGCAGAGCAGTTCTACTGCTGGTCCTCTGTGTTACTGGAAAAACAAGCTTCCTGCCAGGAAGAACTGAACCAGGAAGATACTGTTCCTACCAGGAAGATACTGTTGTTATGTCAACATGGGTTCACCATGGCATGTATGTCACCTGTAGGACTGCTCTGTTATGTTATTACACTTAAGACAGGGGTCGGCGACATGTGGCTCTGGAATCTTTTACTGCCCTGTTGTGGCTCCACAGCTGAATCAGATTTGTAGGTAAAAATAAAATAAAGCTCTGTTGATCGTTCAACACAGTTTTAACAATAAATGGTCTTAAATGCTAGACTTGCTGGTCACCATAGCAATGTAGACAACCATCTCACCTAGCTAGTAGCTAAGGAAACAGCAAAGCAAAAGATTTAAGACGAACCTTGATCATTTGGAGACGGATGGACTTACTTACGTTTATAATCACTCGCAAGGCTGAAGTCAGCTTCTCGTTCGCCAGCTTCTTGTTCAAATTTTCCCGTTCCATCTTATATGGTTTACATTCTGGTGCCTCAGGCACCATTTAAGGTGGAACCTGACAATTCGAATAAGAAGCTGGCGAATAAGAAGCGACTTCAGCCTCGTAAAAAGTCGAACGTTGAGAGACATTTTACAAAAAACTGTTCTACTTTTGAGGAAAGGTTTCCTGCTGGAGATGTGAGAAAAGCAGCCACAGCTGAGCTAAAGCTTAAAGTAGAGCAAAGAAGGTCTGCGATTTCATTTATATTTTTGAGTCTATGCTAGTACATGAGACACATTTACAGCCAAGTGAAGTGTTGACTTTGGCAGCTAGAATTGTCCAGAAATCACTGCAACCCGATGTATTTCTCTTTTAAAGTCCCTGAATATGGCTGTTTATTAGCCATGGTAATAGAATACTTTAAAATACTTCATATTGCAAATTAGCAAGCGAAACCTAAAGATCAGTGGTGACAAACTGTGGTCCTGGTGGGCCGGGGTGTTTTGGTGTTTTCCCTGCTCTTAGCATGTCAGCTAAATCCTGCAATTAACTGATGAGTTGAATCGGGTGTGTTTAAGTGGAAATGAACAAATTGTGCTGGACTCCGGCCCTCCAGGACTAGAGTTGGCCACCCCTGCTATAGTTAGCATTCAGTTTATGCCACACTTGTTGCTGCCGCCATGTTGTTGACATGCCACTGCTGATACATAAATGATGAACAAACCTAACTTTGTGTAAATAGACCATAATATAGAAATATGTACACATATGCAGTGACTGACGTGTCTTTATTCTGAATTTATACAAACACTATTTCATTTAATAGTAAATTAGTTTTGGCTATTTATGTTTATGAACAGAGACCTACAGATGCAGTTTAGTAAAGGAAACTCATTTGTGAACCTGAGTTTAAAGTTTTTATTAAACTTAAACTTGTAACTAAGTTCAAATTAATCTTAAACTGAAACTTTGCTTGTTTGTAAAAAGTGATTTCAGAGCCACTCAGTTCTACCTGATGGAAACTGTTTGCCTTCAGTGTTTTGTGCTTATGATCATTTTAATAGACATCAGCGTCACTAATTAATGACATTCTATTAAAAGACTGGTTTACCAAGAGTGACACTGGAGTATTTTCACCTAAAATGAGTTGATGAAGCGAGTCTTGTTACAAAAATGATAATAAGACATCAGAGCCATAATTAATCTTTTAGTACTTTCACTTTCGATACTTAAGCACATTTGAAGGCAAATACTTTAGTACTTTTAGTCAAGTGGAGGTCTAATAGGAGGAACTTCTACTTTTACTGCAGTAATATTTTACCTTGGGTAGCTCTACTTTAACTCAAGTACATGGTTGGTGTACTTCGTCCACCACTGGTTATTTAACAAAGCATCCTGACAGATAAAATATAGCAACCAAAACAGCAACCAAAAAAGTGTAAGCTTTTATAGCATCCCAGCTGTCTGACATCGTGAGGGTAAAGAAGCTGAGCCAGCCAAGGAGAAAACTTTGGACAGTGAGAATAAACAGGAAAAACATCTACCTACATCAGAGTCTGCTCTCCTGCCCTCATCAGCCTGGCTGTTGTGTTGTGGATGATTCACTATTGACAACTGATGTTGATATGATGATATTTATGTCTATATCTCTTATACTTTAGCTAGAAAGTGAATGCAGTTGAGTAAACATACCTCAAGCTAACGTTAAGATAATAAGATATGTAACTCGTTATCTCAAGATAACATAAGTTGTTATGTTAAGATCACAAGATAATTAACTCATTATCTGCACTTGGTATATGCATTTGGTGTAGCCTGGGGTTCAATCCCCCACCTGGGCAGCACCCTACACTATACCAATAAGAGTCCTTGGGCAAGACTCCTAACACTACCTTCGCCTACCTGTCTAAAATGATCACATTGTAAGTCGCTCAAGATAAGAGCGTCTTCCAAATGCCGTAAATGTAAATGAGTAGTTAAAATATGTTTTCAACACCATTTCAGTGTAAAAATATACAACATGTTGGTTTCAACGGAATCAAAAATTGCATTGAACCTCAAAATGTGTGAAGTGACAGTTGAACCATATTAATATTGATAATTCCGCACTTCAAAGCAACCTAAATAGATGTGCTGTTTCACAATTGTTGTTTTCACTTCTAGAGTGTAGAAAATAAAGAAAATCTACACCGACTGACGTCCTTTACATCCTTGGAATTCAGTGAACAAATAAAGGCAAGAATGCTCTCTTACCTCAGCTGGAACTTTCTGCCACTTTATGCCACACGTTCCAGACACCAGCACACGATGCCCGGTTTGGTCCTCATCTCCTGAGGCCATGTCCTCGTTCTCATGAATGCTTAGCGACAAGGGCTCAAACATTTCGCAGCCAAAATTCATGGTGAGGGTCTCTAAAGTGGAAATGTACTTGATCTTTAAGTCGGAATTGTTGACACTACTGCTCTTGACGGTTTTGTCGTTGAACTCTTCCAGAAACGCTTTGAAGACGTTGGCGATGCGCAGACGAGTGAGGATGTTCCTCTGAGAGATGACCTGGTTCAAACTGGCAGGGATGTAGTTCTTGTACCTGGCATGGCAGAGGCGTCGAGGAGGAAAGCGAAAGGTCATTTGACTGAGGTCATTTGATTATTAAATATGCTCATGGCAGATTAGAGCTGAAACACTGAATCACATTGTTGCTACAATAGATCAACAGTTTTCATAAAAAACATAACTAAGATAAACTAACTGGTGAACCATAATTCGGAGGAACTAACATTTATTCCAAACCCAGCCAAAAGCTAGTTGCACTCCAAAGGAAATATTAAATCAAATATTTATTTTATTATTTGTTCATTAATACAGCTAAACTAAGAAGGAAGCACTATCAAATAGAGAACTGAAAGTATTTACTTGAATCTCTTGGTTAGTTCCCGTGTGGGCAGGTGATTGCCCATGGCCTCGTGGGAGATAGCCATCACAGCCATGCCCAAACACTCGTTCTCTATCTGCTGGGCGTCTTCCTCTGACTGAGGGCTTCTCAGAGGGGCTAGGCCATTGTGAAAGTCATACTGGCTCTGAAAGACAAACACACATGACTTGACTTTACAAATATTTGCTTTAAAGTCAACACTAAAAGAAAATTTGCTTCCTACAGCTTCTCTCAGACTGTTCATTCCAATAGGGCTGGCACCACTTATGGATTTATCGATATTCACCAATAACAGTCACAAAATCTATAAATAGAATATTAGTTTTAGTTCAGTTTAATGTTTAGTCATCATGACGTCTTTTCACACAAAGATATTACATCTTTAATGCGCTGAAACCTTCACGTCAAGTCTGATGCATTTTTGTTAAATGAGATGAAGATGCAGAGAAAGAGGAAACTGATTCACCAAGTTATGACGGCAACAAAGTTGTCATTTTCTTTTAGCCAGCATGAATTAAAAGCACTGATTAACAGACCATTCTACTAAAAAAAAGTTCCGAGCATTAAAATGAGCTGACAAGTTACAAGAGCAACCATGAGTTCTGGTCATTAATGTTTTTGTTTTTTATGTTAAACTGTTTATATAAAACATGGACTTTATGTCACAAATAGAAACTGTTCACAAAATACAGAATATTGTAGTGAAATACAGAATATTGCAGTATTGTGGCTGGCGCTCAGGCCGAGAGACTCTGAAGGCGTGGCTATGCAGACGGCCACACGTCCTCCAAACAAAGGGACTATTTCTGTTGTTTATTGTTGTTGTTTGTTAGTTTAAGTCATGTATACATGGTGTTTGTGTTGTTTTGTGTCCGGGTGTGGGGTCGATATAGTGCTGGTGTGCTTAATAAAGAGCACTTCTCGCAGCAGAATCATGGCCTCTGCTGAGTTTCTTCTTCTGCTGACGCTACACTGGTGTCAGAACTGGGATAGCTCCCCCCAGCATTCTTGAGGGGAATCATGCTTCCACAAACTTAAGAGCGCACAGCGAGAAGGGCAGAGCCCAGCGAAAGACCATGATGACAGCGACAATGTAACAAGGCTCCAGAAGGAGGATAGCCTAACAAGGTTCGACAGCTTGGCAAGACTGGAGGCCGGGGTCTGCGCAAGAAGGCCCGACGATGGTGCCAGCATGAGGAGGCTCAGTGGTGAGGTCGATGTGATGCCACTCGACGGTGTTGCCAGTGACCAGCATGCTCATAGAGGGCACACCACACAGATGGAAGGTGACAGCCCCAGTGCGCATGAGTGGCATTTAGGACTGTGTTGTTGGCACAGTGGGCGGTGGTGAGAGCAGAAGGGTCAGGTCGAGCGCCGCTGTTGGTGCCGTCACCCCTAGCTGGAACGGGACTTGACGTAGTGCACTGTGGGGAGCTCTACCATATGCCAGAGGAGCCGTTGGGATGTGGCCCTGGGGGAGGACTGGGGGCACTCACTATTGAGGTTTTGCATTTGCCAGGAATGTACGCACGCCTAAGGACTTGGCTCAAGCTGGTTGGTTGCCGGGGACCTTTGAAGGGGAACAGGGGGCTATGTAGCAACCACTACTGGCTGGCACTGGGTCAGAGAGACTCTGGAGACGTGGCTATACAGACGGGCACATGCAGATGCACATGGTAGGCGCAATATGTAACTGTATTAAAAAAAATCTCAAAAAAACAACATCAAAAAAAGTGCTTATTGTCCCAGATCCTGATTGCAGTATGTGGGCCCGCTGAAGGCCTGGTTCAGTACTGCTCAGTGTTACAAGCACTGGACTGTAGGATTGCATACCTGTGCATAGAGGTAGTTCAAAGAGGGCATGTCCAGAAGAGCCGTGCCTTGGTTGCCCGTCCGTTTGAGAGAATGTCGCAGTATAGCCGGAGAATCCTTATCAGTACCATGCCAGTTAATGAAGTAGAACCTGCACCAAGAACACCAACATTCATTGAAGAGCATTCATTTAATTTTGCATCACCTTTTCTTGTTTTTTCAAACAAAAAGCTACTACTACTACTCCTACTATGACTACCACTTCTCTTCTCCAACTCATATGATGATGGCCACAGATCAGCTGACACTGGCAGTCACAGAACCTGCTCTGGTGCTACTACATTATAATTACTCAATAATCAACAGGCTGAGTAGCTCAGCATGCTCAAAAAGGTATGCTAAGCACTCAACATGCAGTCACGGTTGGGTTGTAGTGTTGCACAGTAATATAGTAACAGATAAGAACCCTGTCGACCAATCAGAATGCGTTACCCTCCATTCTTTGGCAATGCACAGCACATGGTACAGCTGGGACTCAAACCTCAGGAGTAGCATGCTTTTCCCAGGGGCTTTTCTCAATATTTTTCCTTGTCAATTATTGCTATTTTTACAAATACACTCTTAAAATGATGGTTCCTCGAGTGTTCTTTTGGAAAGACAATGGTTCTATTTAGAACTATGAACACTCAAAGTGAAAATGGGGAAATGGTTCTTCAGATTGATGGAGACTGTGTCGTTATATGGTTCTTTACAGAATCTTTTTGAAAATGGTTCCAAAAAAGCTTTTCTACTGTTACAAGCTCGGCATCGTAACAGTAGAAGAATCCTTTTTGGTGCTATACAGAGCCATTTTCAAAAAGGTCCCATATAGAACCATGTACAACACATTCTCCATCAGAAGAACCAATTCACCATGCAAAGAACCATTTAAGCAAACATAGAACTCATGTTTCCTTTACTAAAGAAGCCTTAAGGAACCATCTTTTTTTAAAAGTGTAATACCTAGAACCCGTTGACCATTCCAGCGTAATTTAGATAGACTGTCTCAAAAAGTACCATCAGTACCCAAAATAATTAGCTAGTACTTCAGAGTTTGAACCGCACACTTACCAACTAAAACTTAGGGGACTGTAAAACAGAGCATTCCAGTTTCACTTGTAATCTATTGTGCTGGAATATAGAGCCAAAACTATAAAACACGTGTCCAAACACTTATGGACTGTATATCTTTGGCAGCTCTGAGCTGATTAAACACACAGATACCTCATACGAAAATGCAGCCTCAGTCTCGTCGCATCGTCAATGACAAAGATGTGATTAGGAGGATACCAGGTGCCGCTCTGCTCATCATAGAGTGCGAACAGTGTGCTGCACAGCGGAGACAAACCTGTGAAAGAGAGATTTAATAATGGCATCAATGATAATAAAGTGTTCTCACATTCTCTATTACAGTCAGTACAGTCCAACATTACATTCCCTGGCCTCTTTATCAGAAACCCCTCCCCTGTAGCTCCACCTTGCTGGTGTACAGTTAAACACTGCGGCCGGTCTGTTGAGATAGAGATGTTTCTGAACATCTAAGGGCCCAAAGTCTCCCTCCCCAATATTAATCTTTGGTATGCAAGAGTAGAATAAGAATTTATTTTAATGAAAAATGTAAAAAAATCTCTGTACTCACTGCCAAACACTGACAAATGCTATTAAATAGATTATAAAAAGGGCAGTTGTGTGCAAAACTTTGGCCACTTCTGGTCATATTATGTATTCTGTTGTTTTTCGAAGTTGTTTTAAAAGTGACATTTTCTGCCTATTTTAATGCAAAATTATTTTATGTTTGATCAACTTAAAAATAGGAAATAAGATAATAAACTGTGGCATGTGCAAAAGTTCGGACACTTTTTCAGTTGTAAAGTCTCAGAACTTAACTTAAAGGGAAAAGGGCTACGGTATCCCAGTCGGTTGCTGAGACGTTGCTAGGCCGTTGTTATGTTATGCCAGGTGGTGGCTAAGATTTTGCTGGGCCAATGCTCTGGCACCCCAGGAGGTTGCTAAAGCGTTATTAGGCCATGCTATGGTATCCCAGGTGGTTGCTAGGGTGTTGCTAGGCCATTGCTGTGGTATACCAGGTCGTTGCTAAGGTGTTGCCTGGACATTGCTATATTATCTCAAGAGGTTGCTATGGTGTCACTAGGCCATGTTATGGTATCCAAAGGTGGTTGCTAGGGTTTTGTTAGGATATTGCTAAGGTATCTCATGTGGTTGCTAGGGTTTTGTTAGGATATTGCTAAGGTATCCCAGGTTTTTGCTAGGGTTTTGTTAGGATATTGCTAAGGTACCCCAGGCGGCTGCTAGGGTTTTGTTAGGATATTGCTAAGGTATCCCAGATGGTTGCTAAGGTGTTGCTAGGCCATTGCTGTGGTATCCCAGGTGGTTACAAAGGTGTTGCTTGGACATTGCTATGTTATCTCAAGAGGTTGTTAACGTGTTACGAGGCTATTGCTATGTATACCAGGTGGTTGCCAAGGTTTTGCTAAGGCATTGCTAAGGTATTCCAGGCGGTTGCTAAGGTGCTGCTAGGCTATTGTTATGGTATTATAGTGTGTACTATGATAATAATAGTTATGTATGTAACATTTGAATTTTCTCAAAAAAAAAAAAGTTTGAATTAACGCTGCGACACAACTTATTTAACTTGTTAGGGCTTAAATGACTTGTTAGGATTGATTAAGCAAGTCAAGAACTGTCATTAGGAATTTTCAGCTGATGAAAATTTCAGTGCATAATAAATTTGATGACTCTAATTTTCATTAAATGAAAGCAATTGAAGGCTACAAAGAAGCAGAAAAGGCTGTAGAAAGACACGCTTTCAGCTTGCAATCTCCATTTAGTACGGCGTCCAAACTCAATTACTCTTTTTGTATTTTAATTTAACCCCTTAATTCCCAGGCTTATTACATACTAAGGCTTATTATTCAGTCACTACAGGGACTTCAGGGCAAGCTGGTTGAACTATTCTTATGTTATAGAAGTGTGTAATAAAGCTTTGGGCCCTCTGGTGAGGCCTGGCCTTTTTAAGGGGTTAATCAAATATAAATTAACCATACATTGACATTTGTCAAAAAAAAAAAATCTTTTTATACAGTTAGTTGTTTACTTCTTTTCACTTTGAAAGTCAACAAAATATGGTCAGGGGTACACAAACATTTGAATACAACTGTGCTTGGGTAACCCTGTAGTGGATCAGGGACCCCAGCAACTGCCTATACTGCTTATAGCTGCCTCAGAGCCACTCTCAGCTGGATATTTTTGGGTGGTGGTCTGCTCAGCTGTATCTGAAACTTACCAGCACCACACTACAGGTGGGCTAAAGTTAGCAACTGTACACTTGTGTAGTGTGTGTTTCTAATAAAGTGGACGTGTGGTTTAGAAGGCAAATCTACTTTTGAAACATCCATGTTTTGTCTAGTAGCTCATCTTCTTTCACCACTTCCTTGTTTCTTGTACATCAGATTACAAGATTACGAATCACCTCATCTCTATTCTGTCAGCAGGCCTACTCACTCAGTTTCTTGGAAGCCTCGATGCACAGCTCCTCCGCTGAATGGCGGCCACTGAGGTGAATGATCTGGCGGGCGTCTGGCAGGTAAAAATGGACCTCAAGACCCTGCAAAATGGGTGGCGTAGTGGGCTGCATCTTCTTCTTTCTCTGCAACTTCTCGATGACCTGCCTGCCAATCTCCATCTCCACCGAGCTGCGGCAAAAGTTCTGGAGAACAGTTGATCTGACTGATAAGAATGAAGAAGCCTTTGCTGTTTGTAAAAAGTATAACACATTTTATATAAATGACACCTGGAACTTGATATGGACTAACAAAGCCTCAGATGTTTATGAGAAAGCTGATTATAGTAAGAGCTGGGAAACGGACAGTGAACTATATCTTCACAGTAATCAAAAGTTCTTCAATTCAAAGACAAAAAGTCATGGAGAACTTACCAATCAGACTCTGTTTTCATCGAGGAGCTTCTTTTTTCATAGTTTAAAGGTCCATTTTTGTGTCCCAAAGTCTCGCTGTAATATCTACTGGATCCATAATAATGCACATTATTTGACTTCCTGGTAAGTCCACTCGGAGGTTCTCGTAAATGGTGTGTGAGGCACCAACCGGATTGGCCTGCTGTGGGTTTTTTTTATGTGATGATGTCAGCAGGGTTTAACCCTGAGCTGGCTGGAGGCGCCTCAGTGCTGCTGCTCTCAAGCACTTGTGGTGAAACTGTGCACTGAGCCTTTAAGGCAAAGAGACTTTTTTTTTTTACATTTATTTCCCTCTAAGCGTCATTTTACAGGGAAAGAGTGATTCATGCACAGTGTGCCTCAAACACAATACAGAGAGCGTTTATCTACACATGTAAAGGCACCATTCAACCCATCAATGCACGCTTTAAAATACCCTTCAGTAAGAATGTAAGTGAGTGAAAGCATGAGTGAGGAAATAAGATAAACAAATAAGTAAATAACTAAAATAAATAATTAAATCAGTAATAAATCTATAAAATTTTTAAAAATATGTGTTAATTTTCTTTCACGTACTATAGGGTGTATTTATGGATTTACATTATTTCAATTATTTGAATAAATAAATAAACAAATACAAAGTAATGAATTAGACTGGTGCATTGATTGACGGGTTTACTGAGGCACATGGTCATGTTTTTATTGTTACTTGAAGTCCAGCACTTTCTTTTATTTTTCTTTCATTTAATTAAATCTTAGAATAAAAAAATAGAAATATATTCATGTATAATCTCATATCTTTTATAAGATATGTCTTTTTTTTACATCAGAGTTATTTTCATCAATAAGTATCTTATATTCATATTATATATTCATCTTATGCAGCTGTTTACATAACTAGTTTTTTGTTTGTTTATTTGTTTGTCCCAGTGTGGAGAAAGTCACACTTTTCATTAAGCATAAACATATTTACTCATTCTAATGAATACATGTGAATGACTTTAAGTCAGAGGTGGCGAGTCGGTATAGTTACTTAAATATTCCACTGTAAAGACATTTAACTGTTTTAATTCTATTCTATTCTTCAGTGAAGGCAATGGTTATGTAAAGAATACATGCATTTTGAACATGTTTCAAATCAATATATTGTTGTTGTATGGCTCTTTAAAGAACCTTGTTAAAAATGGTTCTATCTAGCACCAAAAAGGGTTCCGCTAGAGTCACAGAAACTTTATTTGGCACTACTTTTGGACCCTTTTTGTCTTACTAAGGCTAATACTGTTGTTTTAACTGAATTATACTTGTGAGGAAAGGGTCACTTGTTCTTCAGGTCTGTTTTGTTCTGCAGGGCTCTGCTGCTGCCGCTTCTCACCACTGAGCTACGGAACACCTAGTGTGACACTATTATTTTGGAATGAGGTGTGGCCATGAATTAATATATGGAGGCCATGAATTGCTATACTGAAGCCACAAATTAACATTTTGATGCCATGAATAAATATACTGAGTCCACAAATTTATATATTGAGGCTGCAAGTTAAATTTCATTTAATATGTTGAGGCCACAAATTAATATTGGGGCCAAAAGCCAATATATTATTTTGTGGCCTTGAAATATTAATTTGAGGCCTCAAAACATCAATTTGTGGCCTCCATTAATTATTATTATTAGTTGGCCTCAATATATTAATTTGTGGCCACAAAAAACTTAACTTGTGGCCTCGACATATCAATTTGTGGCCTCAAAATGTTAATTTGTGGCTTCAATGTACGAATTTGTGGCCTCCGTATGTTAATTTGTGATGTCAATATGCGCATTTGTTGCCCTTAATATAGTCATTTGTGGCCACAAGAGGCTTAACTTGTGGCCTCAAAATGTTAATTTGTGGCCTCAAAAGGTTAATCTGTGGCTTCAGTGTACGAATTTGTGGCTTCAGTATAGTAATTTGTGGCCTCCATATGTTAATTTGTGATGTCAATATATCAATTTGTGGCTTCAACGTAGGAATTTGTGGCTTTAGAATATTAATTCATGGCCTCGATATATTAATTTGTGGCTTCAATGTAGAAATCTGTGGCCTTAATATAGTAATTAGTGGCCTCAATATATTAATTCATAGCCACGAGAAACTTTTGGAAAAACAGACACCATGTCACCATAGGAGCTCCGTACAAAAACAGAACAATAAAGCCTAAAACACTGAGGTTTCTGTGCTCAGTACTGGACGAGTTTTTGCACCTCTGACGGTTTTTGTGCTTGCTGGTTCTCGGCAGCTCATTTGTCGTATGTTTGAGTCATTATTTCACCGAAATAAGAATATTTTGCCTCAGCGTGGCTGACCGGCTGTGGCCGCTCTGAGCCGCAGCTAATGGAGCTGCTGCTCCTTTAAGAGCTCCGAGGCGCTCGGGGAGGAAATAGGAAGTCTGTTATGAAGACTTTAGCACAAAGAAACAAAAACGAAAGCAGTTCTTGAGAAATGGCGGGGATAAAAGGTGACTTTGAGCCCGAATTGTTCCCTTTTTCTGTCGTTTTAGCGCGACTATCCTGCTAAAATACGTGTTAGCATAAAGCTACGTCTTAGTTTAGCAACTATCACAACAGTCGACGGGTGGTGGAGTCGCCTCAGCCTGGGAGACGGCAGCGGCCGAAACTGCTCGCTTTTACGATTTTACGACGATATTTAAAGTAAAATATGCAGTTATGATGTTTAACAACAGTATATAGTCAGAATATAGGTGTTAGAGCAAGTGTCACGGTGCGAATTTGCCGAAAATGTTTAATCGTGTTTCTGTACAGCGGGCACTAAATGTCAGTTCGACCTCATTTAGGGTCAGTTTGGACCATAACTATGGTAAAACGCTGCTAAACTTCAAGTGTTTTCAGTTTGTTCTGCGATATTGAAGTTTTTCCATAAGTAACTTTGTGTCTTAACACACAGCGTCCTATAGGGGGCAGCAAAGTCAAAGTCTGCCTGAAACTTGACGCTTGACCAGTTTGTCCATCCTTGTTTGACACGGTTGATGTTCTCTTACAGCTCTGGTCGGTTTGTCCTTCAGTGGTGCTCTCGGACTGACCTTCCTGCTGTTGGGATGTGCATTGGAGCAATTTGGGTATGTGTCCAGTTTCAGGTGTCACTCCAGTGGTGTCCAGTGGAGAGACCTAAATGACAATCTGTCATAAGGCAATATGTGGATTTCAAATATATGACATATGTTAGCATATATGGGTCATTCTCCATTGGGAGTGGGAATTCAGGTTTCACCCCAAAGCTAAATAATCTTAATATGTCCATCAACATCTCCTGTTGTCATATATGCAAACAGGAGAGCTTAATTTCAAATATATTGTACAGTCACTGGTGTTATATGAATAGGTCGTAACACCAGTGATGGTGACTCCAGTGACATTCTGGTTAAAACTGAGGATTTTGTAAATTGGCTGACTCATTGGTGGTCAGGTGACCTTAAAATCAGTAATAAAAATGATATATGGCATTATTTTGACAAAATTTTAATTACCCAGCCATTAAAACACATAACACCAGTGACACATATTAGTTATGTGCTGCCTGATAAACAAAATGATTAATAAATTAATGAAATACAGTAAGCATGCTTCCTCTCTGATGAGCCTTGACCCAAAGAAGCAGTTTAATAGAGCATAACATAAGAGTCCTGATAACACCAGTGACCAAAATCTTTGTGACAAATGAGTTTTTTTAAAATAAAATACATATTTTTTTAAAATGTAGTATAACGTTAATGATATAAAAAGTAAATATGAATCTGTTTTATACAAATTCCTTAGTTAAACCTCTTAGAAATATTGTTTTATATTAAAAAGTTTAAAAGTTTTGGAGCTGTTGTTCATGTAGAGTGACTATGAAACATTAGAGAAATCACAAGGGAAAATTGTCATTTAATCTTAGGTCAACAGTGTAAATGTACATACTGACTTTTGGAGCTGTGCCTAATATTTGAAGCATCTTTATTAAGCCCTGCAACCTTTGTGACATGGCTACCCGCTCCAAATGGAGAATGACCCTCATGGATTTCCCTTATATCCTCAGTCGTCGCATATATTTCAGTCGTATATCACCACATATATATGCAACACATGTATTTAACACTCTTAAAAACAAAGGTTCTTCAAGGGTTCTTTAGTAAAGAAAATGGTTCGACATAGCACCAAAAATGATTCTTCTATCGTTACGACATTTAGCCTGTAACAACATAAGAACCCTTTATGGTGCTATATAGAACCCTTTTCAAAAATGTTTTATATAGAACCACATTCTTTATCAAGAAGAACCATTTCACCATGCAGAGAACACTTTAATCATGCTGAGTGTTCATGGTTCTATATGGAGCCATTTTCTTTGCTAAAGAATCCTCAACAATCCTCATAATTGTTAAGTGTGTAGAAAACATTCATATATGATATATTATTGATACATGCTAGCCTTATGTTACATGATATAAGGTCTGTTGTTGCGTGTATTTTATTTCATTTTGATTTTTTGCTTTATAAAGTCTTTGAGTGTTTGTATTAGATGTAGACAGACAGTATATATGTGATCCATATATTATGCATATAAGTGTTCACCCACCTATGAGACATAATTATATGGCCCATATATATATGGCCCATATATAATATAAAATATATGTACATATATTTTGAAATACATGCCTCACCTTTTATGATATATGTGCATTTATGGCCCATATGTATGATCTCCATATGGTGACTGTGCAGTCCAGTCATGCCCTGTGTTTCTGTCGTCCAACAGGGTGTACTGGCCACTCTTTGTCCTGATTTTCTACATCCTGTCGCCGCTGCCGCACTTCATAGCCTCCAGGTGTGGAGATGACACTGATTCCTCCAGCAACGCATGCAGGGAGCTTGCCCTCTTCCTGACCACTGGCATCGTCATATCGGCGTTTGGGCTGCCCATCATACTGGCACGGAAGCAAGTGGTGAGATTTTTTTTCTTTCTTTTCTTCAACCAACCTGTCGGAGTCAGACACATAAGTTTGCATTAATGAAATAGTCCTCACCCTAAATGTGCAGTCATAACCTTGACAATCTGCCTGTCTTTGAACCACGGACACCAAACATGCCTCAGCTGATCAACTACAGGGTTATGCAAAAGTTTGGCTGCCCCTGTCTTGTTGATTTTGTAATGTAAAAATAAGTAAACACATCCTCTACAGGCATTTTTCTGCAAATTTTGGTGCAGTTTCTACTTATTTTAACATATTGGACCAATAAAACATAAAGTATATAATGTGCCTTAACTTTTGCACAGGTTTTGTGTTTGATTTAGCCCCAAATATGTTAAATTCAGCAAACAGTAATTAAAATGTGCACTCTGTGGAAGATGTGTTAACGTATTTACCCTCAGAAAATCAACGAAACGTAATCTTACCGGGGCACCTGAACTTTTGCATACGACTGTAGTTGATAAGCTGAGGTACATTTAGTGTCCATAGTCTGAAGACAGGCTTATTGTCATGGTTGGGATGTACTGGGATACAAATATACATTGTAATGCATATTCATAATACAGAAATTAGTATCTGTATTCATTAACGTTTTGAAAAGGCAGCATTAAAGATACATTTTTAGAAGAATACTTTTACAATAAAGACCCAATGAATAAAAGAAACAACATCAGTGCTTATTTACTAACTTAAAATTAGCACATGGTTCGTAGCATAAACAGTCATTAGATGGACTTTACAAACACTGAAGTTCCCGCTAAAGCCTGAGTAGACTGATAAACAATAAGTGCTTTTACATGCACTTAATAATCCAATTACTGCAGAAAATCAGATTTTTTCAGTAATCTGATCAACACGTTTACGTGTAATCAGATAATGTGAAACTCTGGGTCTACATGAGTCAGACAGTAATCGGATTTCTGCTTCACAACCAGCCAATAAACTCACAGAAGAAAACGTGATGTAAACGTAATGTAGAACTCAAACGTCTGTTTTCGCACATGCTCAGACTGAGAAATCCAAAAGAAATCAGAGTAAAAGTTTACATGCACTGTGAAATCTGATTACTGATCTTAAATCCAGCCTCTTTATCAGTGCTCTTATTTGTAAGATGTATTCTGAATATGTTACAGTACATTTTGGACGGTGTACAGAGTATTCTGCCATCACTAATTTTTTCAAGATATTCTGCCAATTTATATAAACAAAAATGGACATAAGTGTGTCCCATAGCTAAAAACAGTAACAGCAGCCATCTTGAAGTCTGAATTTTGTGTGTATGTGTTTCATGTTTATAGATGAGTGTATCATACAGTTTTAGAAACCACTTAAACAAGTCTATTTGAGATTACTTGACATTACAACACAGTTAGATGCAAATATGTGATGATTTAGACAGACTTTGCACAGAGCTAATTGGTGGAGTATCCAGAGCAAAGTAAATCACCAGGTGTGAGACAAGGAAAATTAAAATTTGACAGCAAAGTATTTCTTATTCAGGTACCAAAATACTGAAAAATTTAGGCCATAAATTTAGACCGAAAGAAGTTTTTTGGTTTCGTTTTTCAGCCAGATGTATCCTAGATTTGAAAAATTGTTGTTTCACTGCATCGCTATCCTCTGTCTTGTGCTGTAGGGCATATGTAGCAATGCTTTTACAGAAAAGCGTGACGTGATGTACCTGTTATGTACCATGTAACACTCCCTGACTCACTGATGACTCTTCAAATGAATGTCGTCAACAGATTTACTGGGGAGCCTGTGGCCTGGTGATGGCAGGCAATGCCGTCATCTTCCTCACCATTCTTGGTTTCTTTCTGATTTTCGGCGGTGGAGATGATTTCAGCTGGGAGCAGTGGTAGAAGCCTGTGATCACGATGCCAGATTGAGGGTAAAACCTCATGTCTACTGGTCTGGAAACGCAGGAGGGAGGAGGGGAAGGGGGGGAGGGGGATGTGCAATAGAGGGACACTAAGGCCAAACTCCACTAATCACAATAATGCGTTACTTTGGCAATACTATTGAGGAAGAGGACTAGGGGTCACCAAACCTTGGGGGTATGGACATGGACTGAGACGAATGAGCAGGAACTATGGCGCCCCCCCTGAGAGTTTCACTGGACCGCGGACTCTCACTTTAAATCAATAGCCATCTCACCCAGTCATGTCTCCTTTCATTTCTAACTCTCTCTCATTCTACACTTTCAGTAGAGCTTAATGTGCAGCCCATAGCTCAGTGCACACAATAAGTGGTCACTGTAGACTCATCACCACATGCCGCATTACTATTATATTTGCATTATTTCACTTATAATTCCAGCAATCACGTAGATTCTGTGACGATCGTCTATGGAGGTGTGACAATGAGCGCAGTATTTCTCCAAAGATCTCCTGGGAAACTGTAGAACTTAGCGAGCTTAAAGGTTAACTACAAACAAAAAGCATAACAGAGCTTTGTGTTAAGACAAAGCTTCGGCCATATTGCAACATATCAGCAGAAAAAAATCTCCAAACCCTCACTGCGGCCTTGACCGCATGGGTTTGTTCTGCGTGATGCTACCGCCTGGTGTGATTCATCGTTGCTCTTTCGTTATAAAGAACTCTTTCTAACTCTTAACTCAGACATGTTGGCCTAACAAAGTTCCTTCTTATTTCAGCTGACTGTTAGTATTCTACACTCAACAATCCTCCATTTCAGCTCTGAGGTTTCTAGGACACAGTGTGGCTTGAAGTTTGTAGTTACTCTAATTCATATTTGAATTTTAGGTCACTGGAACATAGCCAAGGTTATTGCTGCCTTTTTGTCCATGATCCTCAGCGTTGTTTGTCTTTCAATATGGCCGTCCTCCCTAAAAATCCATCAGCTGAAACGACCAAATTTGGTGGATAACTTTAAACAGCTCTAAATGAAGGTTTTCTTTTATTATTCCACTTTTTTTTTATTTAGACAACTTTCAAATGTTCATATCCTTCTATTTTTCTACCTGCCATTTCTCTTCAGGCAGTTTAAATAACACTGACATGTTCTGTCCTCTCCACCTTTCTTTCTTTGTTGATCCAACCAAATTGTCATCTCAATATTGTCTACAGCGTCCCTCATACTACAGATATTAAGGTCCAGAAAGGTCCAGAAACTGGAGCGCCACCACTGCTAAGTAAAATATCACACATTGTAAAACCTATCGCACAATTGTCATGACTGAGCCAAGAAACTTGCCAAAAAAGATATATATACTCATACCTATGTCCATACACCCCCCCCCCATTCCTTCTCCTTTTCTAATAGCGTTATTTGGTCGAGCCATTTTATCAACCCAGCAGCAGTTTGTCATTGCCAACATTTCAACATGTTGATCCCTCTCACCATTTTAGGCCTTAATGTTCTCGAATCCGTGTTTACATAAGCGTTACCAAAGCACACCCCTTCCAATCCTTCCTCTTTCATCATTCCCAACTTTATGTTTATCACTGAACCTAATACAAACCATGATTTACTCCTACAGTAAGCACCTAAAGGCAAACAGGGCTGTGGGGGAAAGCCATGCTGATTCAGACAGGACCTGTGCCTTCTTTAAATGTGTGTTGGGTGTTGGTTTCCATTGACAAAATGCTCTTTTCTATGTTTTTTTAAGGATGGTAGTTTATTATAATTTGTCCATTCCCTCCAAACTGACACAGCTCTGTAGCTAAATATATGAAGACACTTTCTTTGGGGAAGTACCTATGCAACTCAGAATACACTTATATTTTTGTAGCTCTGTTATCATCTGGATCTCGTCTGGCTCATTCTGTCATGATTTCACGTTTCGTACTACTGGTAGTCATTGGTGTTTTAAAACACATGCAGTTGATAACAGACATGATCATTTTTAATCCACTGTGTACTTGTTTCTTCTTCACTCATTTCCACAAGATTGCTTCAGTAGTTTTCAGATTAACTGCATAGCCTCATGTGTTTATTACAAGCATTTGCAAAAACCTTTAATTTGATTGTGTGTATATACTATTATGAAATAAAGCACTTGTATTTAAACGGTTTGCTGTCATGTTCATTAAAGGGGAACTCAAAAATGCATCATCTAAAAATATAATGCAACCATTATTACATCTGTTGGAAACAGGTCTATTCTCATCCAGCAGAAGTGCTGTAGTGATATTTTAAGGTTTGAAGACGAGGAAATCCCCCTTCTGATGATGTGTCTTTAAGGATATTTCGAAACACTACAAGGGCTTTGAGGCTGATACTTGGGCCCAATCCCATTTCTTAGTTGTCGAGTGTCACCCTAACCCCTTGGAACTGAGTTACAAGGGGTAGTGGTTGAACTCTTACCTACAAAATGGGACCCTCAAATAAAAAGAGCATTACTTCATTAACAGCTACTAGCGCTGCTCTGTAGGCGACCCTGCCAGTCTGCAGTGACAGCAGAGGAGGGTAAAGTTCAGCTCCTCACTGCTGGGCTTTAGTTACATTTAGGGCATCATATGCCTTCAAAGAGGGGGGCAATTATTTATTAACACCCACCCCTAATTCTTCAGTGATATGAAGCTGAAGTCAGATATTCACCAGCTTGTTGTTCAAATTTTCCTGTTACACTTTAAAAGGAGCAACAGTTTTGACGCCTGAGGTGCCAAAATGTGAACTGCTGCACCATTTAAGGTGGAACGAGAAATTTAGCTAACTAGCTACCGAAACTTAAGCATATTACTAGCTTATTTTTTATGCTTGTTGTAAAGAAGAGGACCATAATACATTGAAACGATATTAAACTAAGACAATACGATGATTATTATAATTTTTTACAGTGGAAATTCTCACATTTGTGGGTTTCTTTGGTCTCTTATTCAGCCGTCTTACTGTTTTTTTTTCTCATAACACTGTTTGGAGTCTCTGAAAAACCTGCGTTTGGAGGGTCATGTAGCTTTAACACTTCGCCCTACCCCTCTATCTCAACAACAATCAGGACACCCTACCCCTAGACGTGAACCTGCAAAACAGAGGGCTAAGGGCTAAGTGGTAGGGGCGAGGAGTGAAATGGGACTGGGCCTTGAAGAATGTTTGAAATGGTTTTTCCACCAGCTGGCTAATGCTAGTGGATCAGATAGCTAATGTTACTGCTAGGAAGCTGAATATTACCAGAGAACCTGTAGAGAGGAGAATTACTGCTCTGTAATGTCTTCTGGGTTTCTCAAACGCTAGAGGGCGCTCAGGAGGTCCAAAATGAATAGGTTAAGATGGAGCATTTGAGCAAAATCATAGTTTATAAATGCTGAAACATTTTTAAGATAAATACATACATTCATATCCTGAACACAGAACAGCATAAAACATTTTAACACCGCTGTTATATTTTTAAACGCTTTTGAACCGAGTTATAGTTTAAAATGGCGCCTCATGTACGTCCATGACGTCTTTGAGTGCAAACAGCCAATAAGCTGCTCCGCTTGCCAACCAATCAGCACTCAGTAGCAGTAATGCCAGCGTTGTACTGCCTAAAACCCATTTGCTGTAGAAAAAAGAAAAAATACAGGTTTTTATACACAGTTTTCTTTGCTTTTTTAGTGAAATACATCATTTTAATAAATTTTTTGTTTTTAGCAGTTTAGCTCCATTTACTCCCATTCATTGAGGACTGGCTCGCAGCCGCCCTCTGCTGTTTAGCAGTCATGTTTTTGATTTAACGGAGTAGAATGACGTATTTGTGTAACCTAATTCGTCAAAAAATATGCAAGGTTGAATTCTGTCAAACCAATTAGGCTGAGGGATGCAGTGCTGCTCTACAGAATATTACATAACATGACAAATATCATATCAAAACACTAGTTTTGGGCCAGAATGCCTCTTAACTTTGTCACAACATGTAGATCTATCTGGTCGTGGGTTCCTTGTGACAGCTAGTGTGTAGCTCTAATTCCAGCAGCAGAATCCTCTCTAGGAAACCTTGCGTTATTTTGAGAAACTGCTTCCACTTTGAGCCGACCTTCTTTTCATCTGTACACTTTTGTACTTGTTTTGGCTGCCCACATTAGAGGACTTCTATTTAGAGCTAAAATGGTGGCATGAAACACAAAACTCCTCTGCCGCCCACAGAGCGATTCTGCTGCTATTTGGCATTTTCCAACAACATTTCACACATAAACTCCTGGAAGAGGCAGAAGAAGCTGAGATGCCTTCCAAAAAGGCACAGCTAAATTATCCTAAATATCGTTTTGTCCTTGGCTACTTTATTAGGACCCCATCCCTTGTAGCTCCACCTTGCTGGTCTACAGTAAAAACCCTTAGCCTGTCTATTAATGCACATTTCGTGCTAGAGATCCTCCAGTCCTTCATCAGTGGTCAGTTTCTGATCACAGAACAGCTCTTGGCTAGATATTTTTGGGTCGTGGACCACTCTCAACCTGTCTGCTATCTGGTCAATGGCTGCTCTGTGGTCAAAATGTGTTACAGTCATAGGATGGCACTTTTACCACAAATCAGTTTGTGAAATTTCTACCCTGCTAGATCTGCCCCAGTCAACTGTAAGTGCTATTATTGTAAAAAGGAAGCATCTATGGGCAACAATAGCTCAGCCAAGAGGTGGCAGATCGCACAAACTCACTAGGCGGGGATGCCGAGTGCTGAAGTGTGTAAAAATCGCATATGCTCAGTTTGATCCCTCACTACAGAGATCCTCTGGAAGCAAGAACTGTGTGTCGGGAGCTTCATGAAATGGGTTTCCATGGCCGAACAGCTGCACACAAGCCTAAGATCACTATGTGCAATGCCAAGTGTCGGCTGGAGTGGTGTAAAGCATGCCACCTCTGGACTCTTTAGCAGTGAAAACATGCTTGATGATTCATTCTTCACTATCTGGCAGTCTGAGGGACAAATTTAAGTTTGCTGGAACCCCAGTGAACACCTTTGGGAACTAGAACATCGATTGTGAGCCAGGCCTTCTCGTCCAACATCATTGCCTGACCTCACAAATGCTCTTTACACTGAATGGACACAAATTCCCACAGACACACTCCACAATCTTGTGGAAGGCTTCCCAGAAGAGTGGAGGCTGTTAAAGCCACAAAAGGAGGGCATGGTTTTTAGGATAAGATGCCCAACAAGGTCATATGTGATGGTCAGGTGTCCACATACTTTTGGCCATACGTGTACACATAAGGTAAGTGGCGCTCATGAAGTGGACAGTGAGAGGAAGTACAAGATAGTGGTTTCTAATGAAGTGGATGGTGAGTGTGTAGCTCCGTTAGAGGACTACCATCCCTCTTATTAAGACGTATTAACACAGCAGTCACGACACTGCTCTGCATGAGAGAACACTGAAGAACAGTGTGTTACAAACAGCATCCAAGAATGAACACGTACCCTTGCAGAGGGTGCAAGCATAAAAGCATGACTTACTCAGTTGAGATTAGTTAGAAATAATTGGGCTTGTTATCTAGTACCATGACCAGAAATGCAGGTAAACAGGACCATAGTACCTCTAGGTCAGCAACATGTTGCTCCGGAACCACATGTGGCTCTTTTACTGCCCTGTTGTGGCTCCACGGCAGAATCAGATTTGTAGGTAAAAATAAAATAATCCTCCTTTACAGTAAAATAAAGCTCTGCTGATCGTTCAACACAGTTTAACAATAAATGGTCTTAAATGCTGGAATTTATGTTGCTTATATCTGGTAATTCACCATTTAACCCTGAAGACTGGTGCACAGACTGCTGGTCACCATAGCAACACAGACAACAGTATCACCTAACTAGTAGCTAATGAAAAGGCAAAGAGACGAATGGACTTATTTGCGTTTATAATCACTCCAGCTGGTTTCTTGATACGTTTAAACTGTCAAACACTAAAAAGTCAGTTTCTCTTTTGCCAGCCTCTTGTTCAAATTCTCCCGTTCCACCTTAAATGGTGCAGCAGTTACATTCTAGCACCTCAAGCACCATTTAAGGTGGAACAGGAAAATTCGAACAAGAAGCTGGAGAATGAGAAGTGACTTCAGCCTTATTAAAAATCAAACATTGAGAGACATTTTACAAGAAACTACTCCACATTGGCAGAAAAGTTTCCTGCTGGAGATGTGAGAAAAGTGACTATAGCTGAGCTTAAGCTTAAAGCAGAGCAAAGAAAGTCTGCGTTTTCATATATATTTTTTTGCCTGTGCTAGTACATTAACACATATTAAGGCATATTTTCAGCCAAGATGGTAAAACGTTACTTCAGTAAAATGGACGTAAAATGTTGTGGCTCCCAAGGAGGTTTGATTTTTGTTAAAAGGACAAAATGGCTCTTCTTAACATTTGGGTTGCGACCCCTGCTCTAGGATGACAGCGACTGATAAACCCCTAAAGGCTGCCATTTCTTCTGATTGCATGTCACATGCTTTAGCATCTTCAAGTGTCTGGGAGGAAGAAATGCTGGGCCGTGTGGCCGTGCAGGGGCCTGATTGGCTGATACGTTCAGATAAAGAAGAGGACCTCCTATTCCAATGAGGTTGCTGCCAGTTGTTTTCTCATGGACCCTCAATCACAGAAAGCACTTGGGACTGGAACCCGAATCTCAGCGGTTGGACACGCCTCCGCATTACTAAGCAGCGCCTTCACTAGCTGTGCCGATGGGGGAACGGCACAGCGCTGCTATAATGGCACACGTCTAGGAACCTGACAGCATTTTACAGCAGCATTCATCTCTGGTGGCTTTCCAAGCCACAAAATTTGAGCATTTGAATTAATTTGGCGCCGCCGTTTGATCCGATGTGTTTTTATTGGAGCCGCCTGTGGCACCACATCAAAGTCCAAACACATCTGAAGTTTGGAAATGATTTGTACTCCTGCGGTGGAAAGGCAGAATGACGTGTGAAATGAAAGAGCAGAGGAGAGGGTGACAGTCATTTGGCCAGAGGCGGCTGTCTGCCTGTGCTCAGGCTTTCTCTGAGCTGCTCTTCCCCGCCAGTTAAATAAACGAGAGGCCTGCAGACGGCGACCGCAGTGCCAGTGGTGTGGCTCAGTAATGACCTCCCCCCCAGGGGGCAGCTCTATTTTTAAGC